TGCATTGTCTTGAAGGAAGGCTACCTGCTTCCCACCTGTCTTCCGCTTGGATTGGATCTTTTCCTTCATGTCTGTTGCCAGGAGGTCTGAGTAATAAGCTGCATTGACTGTTCTGGCATCTGTCAGAAAGTCTACACGGATAACCCCCTGCCAGTCCCAGAAGAACGTTGCCATCACTTTTCCTGCTGAACGGCTCCTCCACGCTCTCTTGGGTTTGGGAGAACTGGTATGCCGCCACTCGCGTGATGACTGCTGGGACTTGGGAATGAAGTAGTGCACCCACATTTCATCGGTCACTACAGACTTCAAAAATGCATCACCTTCATCTTCAAACTGCTGTAGGAGATGACTGGCAGCTTGCATGTGCACCATTTTGTTCACGTTCGTCAAAGTGCATGGTACCCACCGTGCATTCACCTTGCAATAGTGCAGGTGGTATTTCACAATGTCTTCTACACTACCAACACTGATGGACAGCATTACTCCAAGTTCCTTGATAGTGATGCGCCTATTCTCACGAATAAGCACGTCTGCACGATCAATGTTCGGCTCGGTGATGGATGTTCACGGCCAATCATCATGCGGTTCATTCTCCACGCGCTCTCTGCCTTCTCTGAAGCACTTACACCACTCAAACACATGGGTCCATGAGAGACACCCTTCCCCATACTGTTGTTGGAGTCTGTGGTGAATTTCAGTGGACTGGATATTTTCTCCAACGAGGAATTTGATCACAATGCGTTGTTCCACGCTCCGCGGTACCTTCTGTTCTCTCATCACTCTAGCAACTCCCAGACAGGACTGAACAGGTTCTAACCCAAACAGGAGGGAGGGTGGAGGTTGTGGCTTCACTCTCTCAAGGTCGCACAGCTGCTGCGCGGTGCGGCTTGTGTACACACAAATTAGTCCCGGTCATATTTGAACCACCTAGTATATATAACATTTGCATGTAAAACATTAAACTTCATTGGAAACATTTCAAAACACAATACAATATTCAAGTTACAAGGCTCTGTATACTTGATAATCCATATTTCCTATCAGGTATGAATGGCAGTTTTCCTTTCATCAACACCAGAGCAATGTAAAAGTATACCACACTTCCAAAACTTTTGCTCATACTGACCCAAATCACAACTGAGTATAGGACATCATTAACATTATCCATGCTCTTATCTTCTGATGTCTGCTCATCTATTCTCAAGCACAGGGGGAAGGTAGCTCCATCCCTTGTCCGACCAGTGGCCTTCTGCTTCTTTACATCCTAAGACAAAAACATTTGTTTCAATAAAAGGCATAATGTTCAGTATGTCTGAATGTTCTGTGAGGAAATCAATAGAGCATAGTGCATTTACCTGCCTACAAAGCAATGTAGGATATAAGACACATATATAGTGAAAACTTTTATGGAAAAATAATTTTATTACCTGCCCAGACAAAATTCCTGCATGTAATTCTTCAGTATAAATATAACTTTTTACCAACTTCATCATTGCCCATTTTAGGTCTACAGAACGCTTTTCTGATAAACCCACGATTTGTTTACTGGCCTTCATCACTGCAAACTGTACCAAGAAATAATGCACTGCCAGACTGAAAATACAATTATTAGTTCCTACAACATACATTACAGCCACTGACTGAAACTCTGTATCACATTCTGTTTGCAAAACCATGGAATCTGCTTTCATGTCAACCCACATGACTGTCATGAGATTTATCATACTTTCTCGCATACCACACAACCCCTAAATAAACCACACACTGCAGTTTTTCAGTAATAAAAAATACAAATTTATGTGAATTAATTGAAGTTTTAAAGTATACATGTCAAACAGAAGTGTTTTATGTTTTATGCAATTCAATTACCTTAGTTAGAGCATCTTCACTGATAGGCAGTTTGATGGCAGGTATTAAGACAGCTATGTCTGCTTCTTCCAAATCATCTTCTTCATACTGGAAAATGACAGCTGTCTCGGAATCAGCTGATATGATGCATCCAGCTCGGTCCATAACAAGCTGTGCAATATTAAAATCAAAAATAAATCAAATTCTCTGTAACAGAAAACTGTGCATAATACAGACCTCCTTATAACAACACACAATACACAACATTCCTCCTTTCTTTCCTCTTCATTTTTAACAATAAGAGAGGAGGGGGAATACTCAGATTATTTTTCTAATAGACTCTTCACACTTCAAGAGCATTTCTCTATTATTTACAGAGTGGAGAACAAGGGCATGATATATTTCACACAGCTGTTGTGGACACTAACTTCACTGACGAGCGGCAGTCGCTCGGTCAGTATAGTTCGCTTGTGGACCAAAACCACAGAGTCCGTTTTTGTTTTTTGTTGTGGGAAAGCAAATATTATGCAAACATATACATCTGGGTATGGAGCATAGTAGTCATGGAGAAATGTACTGTAAATCATTGCATTTTTGATGTGAGAATTTATTTTGAAACTAAGTCTATTGTGCAGACAAAAAGACACTTTCAGAACAAGTTCTGTGTTCCAAGGAATGGCAGAATTCCTTCACATAATATTGTTTGAAAATGAGACAATTTCAATGTTCATGGTAGAATAGTGAATAATTTTGATAGCTGTGCACACTCCAGTTGCACACCACAGAACACTGGATGAGTGACAGTAGTAATGCAGCAGAGCCCAAGATGCTCAGCAACACAGTGCATGGTCACTGTACAGATGTGAAACAGGTCCCTATGAAAAATCATGTAACCCACAAACTGGATGAACAGGCTAAAGCTTCTTGTGTCAGCTTCTGTAGACAGTTCTTGGATGTTCTGGATAATGATGAAAGGGTTTTGGATGTTCTCATCATGACAAATGACGCTCATTTCTACTTCTCAAGTTACAAAAAAAAAAGGGTCAAGTTGACCCTGAGCTTAATTACCTATGCCATGAAGACATATGGAAGAATGGAGGTACAGCTCCATTTGTCTTGGCCTCAGCACCAGATGGAGGTGAGTGGTCACCTTACCACCAGGGAAAGAGCACCCTGTACCCATTGGATAGGAGGCTGGGTAGGCCCCAGAGTTGGTCTGGACGCTGTGGAGAAGAGAACAATTTTGCACTGCCAGGAATCGAACCCAGGCAGTCCAGTTCATAGCCTGTAGCCCACTGCTATACTGACTGAGCTATCCTGACTCCCCTAGTTACATAAACAAACAGAATTTCAAGTTTGGAGTGCCAGCAATCCTATGCAGATCTACAGTGAAAATGTAACCCTCTGCTGTGGTGTTTCCATGTTTGGTATGATCTGGCCTTGTTTCTTTGAAGAAAACAACCAGGCCATTATTATGGATTCTGAGTGCTATTGGAACTATGAAGGAAGATACAAAGGGCAAGAAATGTGTGGTTTCAACAGGCTGGTGCAAATGGCCAAGCAAAGCATGGCTTTTCTTGGGGAAATAGTTCCAGGGTGCTTAATTTCACAATTTGCTGGCATTCCTTGTCAATCATATTCCCCAGACTTAAAGTGTCCCAGACCTTTCCCTGTGGGGGTATCTAAAGCATAACGTGAATGCTACTCACCCCCACTCCACTCAACAACTAAAGGACTGCATTACAGAGGGCATTTGAATTAATGGTGGTTTATTGCAGGGAGTTATGCAGAACTTCAAACAGTGATTATAAAAATGTATCAAATGTGATGGAAGTCTGTTTCTAAAAACGGGTGGAGACATGTGAAAGGGGTACACTACACAAGTAAATATGGTAAATCATAATCTCCATTTAAATCATTCCTAGAGAAAATCTAAAAACTTATTTCCCTGAATTCTGCTATATGGAGATCTGTGTAAACTTAAAATATATAAATATTATGATACTGAATGATGTTTTCCTTTACTTTCCTTTTGACTGCACACTTCAGTGAAGTAGGTAACACTCCTGCTTTATATCTAGAAGGTTACCAGTTCAAAATTTCAGCCCCATCTGTCTATCCTGACTGAGGTTATTCATGGTTCTTGAGTGCCTTCAGGAAAACAATAAAACAATACCGCAAACTAGGCCATGACCACTTCCTCCTGAATCCTTTCTAATTCATTATTCATTTATCAGCCTACTAGTCAATGAAATACAGTCTGAGATACTGACAGCATTGTTAAATAAACCATAAATAAATAAAACGACAAACAACATTAGTATCTTACTTAAATTCATAAAGCTGCATAAACAATGAAGAGTGACACTACAGTACTTCATTCTAAGGATAACCAACTTATCTTTGTTCTACTGTATGTATACCTGAGCCACTCTTCGCTGCACAGGCTCAGCTACTGCTAGACACCTCCCTTCTGTCTCTAACTTCCGCAGCCAAAGTGAGACGGGCACAATTTTCTCATCCTTTGTTATCATTTCCACCTGTGAAACAACCATGAAAGATAAACTATAAAGAAACAATACTGTAACATTATAGATATAATTGTGTTTCCTATCCCTGAGACAACTGGTTTTCAAGCAAAAATTGGCTGTAGCTCCTGTAATGGCTACCTCAGAAACAGCTGACATTATACAACCAGCTATGTACAACATTAACCTGTCCATGACCTCTGTCAGAATGATGCCAACACTCTAATTTCCCCAAAAAGGTCCACTGTCAACCCTTAACTTATGATTTTAATGCCATATTATGATCAAATATTGAGTGTTACATCTCTTCTCCTTATATTCTTTGATATTTCATTTAGTTGGTTCACATATAGGAACAAGAGATGGAAGAAGTTCCATATTCTCATGTACCAGTGTATTCTTTCTTCCAGATTTTTGAGCAAATTAATTTGTATCTCATGGAAGAGAGGTTTGGAACAAAATGGTTAGTAAAGGATTATAAAAAATAAAATAAATAAAAAATCATGCAGATCCCACATAATTGCAGTGTGCCCAAACAACCCAGGCATATTGCCAACACACCACACACAACAATGTACAAAATTCTGCAGACACATTTGAAATTTAGAAGATACAGGTATAATACCAACTGTTGTAACATATAACTTCCTGAATCAAAGAAATTTACTACACATTTTCTGGTGACTTCCCTTCAAGACTTGAAGACAAACTTTTTACAGACAAAACTGTCTTTAGTGATCAAGCCACATTCCATTTGTCAGGCAATATTAATCAACATAACCTGAGAATCTGAGGGAACAATTATCATGAAGTAACTGAACATCTGGGAGACAGTCCAAGGTAACATGCATAACAACATCTGGACTAAAACTGATTGCAGATATAGCATCTGCTGGACCACTTACAGCGCCCTCACTGAGCATGTGTAAAATGTAGGTCACAAAAACATGATCACATACTAGTACTTTACTCAGATGTGTTTAATTTTCATTTCTGTACCTTTTAGTATATGAGCAATATCACAGTAAAACGGTATACATTTCAACTGTACACCTTGTGCATTTGATTCTTTTGAATATATGAGTAAGCTAATGTTTTCACTGAGCAGGGACCTTCACGAGAAAGTAATACAATATGTATTTTGCAGTAAGAAACTCAGGTGAAAGGATAAGAGATTAGAATATGGAATCATTATAAGAAAATATGGCTAAGTTTGTGGAGACATTGGTGACTATGGGTGGACTGCTGATAGAAGGTTGAAGGTTCAGAATTATGGGAGATCAGTTTTCAATAAGAGATTGGTATTTACAGATTGAAGAGATTGATTGGCTTTCAATCAGTAACCTTCTAGATGTGTCTGTCTCAGAAACAAGTGTGCAAGGAATGGTTTATTTAGTAGTGACTAAATACAAAGTTACAGCTGGAAAATTTAAGGAATACTTGTCAGTGATTAGTAGATATGATGCAGACAATAATGCAAGACTGGTCAATGTTTAAATAAGGGCTAGGTAAGTGACATGGTTCAAGTAAAATGGACAGAGTAAGTATGACTGAGGCATTCAAGGAAAAGTAAGAGAGTGAGAAAGTCAGAGGCCATCAAAAAAACCCTCACAGTTCCTATTCATGACTGTCAAATTACAACTGATAGAATGTATTAAGTTTCAAGAAGCTGTCATGAGATCGAATGGAACAAATCAGACACTTGACTGTGGTGCGAACACCAGAAGCATACAAAGTCAAAAAGTATTAAGAATTATTTACACTAACTGAACATAATTTAAACAAACAATGAAATAAGGAAAAGTAGCATCACTAATAATCAGTTTCAATAAGGTACCTTAAATTCTGAGTGGTCTTCTCGAGGTGTTAAGCATTAAACTGAACCTGCAGTGGGCCCTCCTTTTTGCCAGGTAAACAGGTACTGAGTCCGAAGAAAGTCTAGATTATTACAACTTGAAGAAGAATAAGTCATGGTTTGATGAAGGATGCTCAAAATTATTAGATCAAAGGAAACAAGCCAAACTAAAGTAGTTACAAGATCCAAGCAAAATACACATAAATGGGGATCATTTGGACAATATAAGACATGAAACCTTAAGGCATTTCATGAATAAAAACAGGGAATATCTGAAGGACAAAATTAATGAGCTTGTAACAAATAGTGAGAACAAGAACATTAGAGACATGTATAAAGGAATAAATTAATTTAAGAGGGGTTAAAACTTGCAAACCACTGGACTTAATACATTAAAAAACATGATATCTGTAATTACAGCATGATTATTTTAACAGAAGATATAATAAAATTGCCTTAAATTTTGTACTTACAAGCAATCTGCCATGCTAACAAATAAACACGTAATTATGACTGATACTGACCACTTTTCCACTGAGAACAACCATGTTTCCTTCCTTGGTATCAAGTTGCTCTTCAGACAGGGCAGTGAGCTGTGTCTTGTGCTGGCCACTCAGTAGCTGGTGCAGCTTCATTTGACACAGCTCCTCTGGTGTGAAACCCAGCAGACTGCATGCCATACCATTAACCACGAGGATCTGTAATTAACACAGCATACAATTCTATAAGAAAGGACACTAAGCCAGGAATGTTTTCCCTGCTTCACCTTCTTCATTCCTGAGAGCTGCTTTTGTAGATGCAAGTGCAGGGGATTAATCAGGACTTGTGGCTTGTGAATACCTGAAGGGATCTGCGTTTAATGTGCACAGATTGATTAATACTGTGACGTATAGCCCGTTTCTAATCAAGGGCTAGGTAAACACTGCCTAAAAAGTCAGAATAGTAACAAACAAACGGATGAATTGATGACACAAAACTAATGTTCTGGACATTAGAAACTTAAGTTTAATGAATCCAAAAATCAGTAGTTTCTCTGCTACCATCACAGCAAAATATCCATGTAAAGAAGGTGCAGAGGATGGTGAAGAGGTGCTTTTTAGTCTCTTGCTATCCTCTGTCAGATGGCTTCCAACATCATAATTTTCTCATACAGGTCCTCTGTCAACAACCTTTCACCACCACCTTTACAAATTGAGGACGTGTCATGATCACATGCTGCATGCTGAATCTGTCCTTTACACTCTCTTACATCCATTCTAGTAGTCTGTGCACAGGTACAACAGATAGCAAGAATTTCCCAATACCAAATCAATTTCTAGCCAGTAGGAGTTTGGTTAGAAATAAAAAATAATGGAAAAAATTAAATCACGTTTCCTTTGAATGACTGTGATATTTGACCTACACATGACCTATCAGAACAAAGTGACATATCAGTTCTACAAATCAAGTGAAACACTACAGAGGAATTTTTCTATCTTATTCTACCACCAATTACTTACTTACTCATGGAGCTGAGCCCTTCTTGAGGAGCCGGCAATTCTGCAGCTACTCAAGAATTGCCCAGCATTTTATGGAACCCAAAGGGTCATCACTGTGTTCACAAGAGCCCTCCACTGTTCCATATCCTGAGCCAGATCAATCTAATTCATACCATACCATCCTATCTCTCTAAGATCCATCTTAATATTGTCCACCCACCTACACTTTGGTCTTTCCAGTGGTCTCTTTCCTTCTGGCTTTCCCACTAATATCCTACATGCATTCTTCTTCTCCCCCATTCGTGCTACATGACCTGCCACCTCAGCCTCCTCCACTTGATCATTCTAATTATACGTGGAGAATGGACAAACCATATATTCTTTTTTTACGTGTTTCATATCACTGCGCCATCAGGTGTTCATCTTTGTTATATTCACCTGTATTCATCTGCCAGTATTTCTACATTTCCAAAATTTCACACACACATGATATCAAGATATAATATTTCTAACTACAGAGGAAGTGAAGACAGGGCTCATAGTGCATCAGGTGACGGTTTCTAACCCTGCTGTGAATCAAACTGCTGCATGTCATATCAGCATAGGTTCAGCATTCGTGTTTATGGATGAACTATAGAACACTATTTAACGGGATGCTGTGGTTGACTGTTAGCACTGTTTTGTATTGCTTTGCATTTGAGAGGTCCTGAACTAAAAAACTTTTTCCTGAAACCAGCTATCCAGATTCAAGTTTTTCATGTTTTTACTTGGTCATTCCCATTCAAGAGCATTAAACAGCTACAGGAAAGAATTCCACGTATTGATTACAGGCAGGGTTATAAACACTTCAGTGATTTAAAAGGAGGGCAAATTTACACTTTCAAAATGCCGCATTTCTGAAATTAACAGATGCAAATTTCATATTTATCACTTACTTAACAAAGAGAACTCCTTCAGTTTCATTAGATTCTGAGACTGTCATGAGCTGACAATAAATGACCTATCTATAGAATATATAGAAGGCCTAGGTAAGCAAAATGGGGTGAAGACAGGTGGCTACAGATATCATGGAACAACAGGCCTGTGGAATTAACAGTAGGAAAATCAAGAATACACTGCAAAGAAAATTCCAAGTATCATACAGAAAATAATTTGGTTAATCAGAGAAGAATAAGACCACCAACTGCCTAAAGAACCATAAATTTGTTAATTTCTTTCTTCAGATTAACTTGTAAAGCTTTAAATTAATCAAAATATTTAAGAATTCATTTCCTGCTTCACAGGAAAAGCACTGCATGTCCATTACAAATACCAATTTGTTAATAAGCAGCCAGGATAGTTCAGTCAGTACACTGACTAGATGTGAGCTTCACCTGGAAACTGGGGTTTGATTCCCGGCAAAGACAAAAATTTTTCCCTTCTTCACAGAATTCAGATATTCTGTAGGATACACCCAGCCTCCTGTCCAATGGGTACTGGGAGCTTATCCCCACGGATAAGGTGGCTGGGGCATGAAGCTGAGCACTGACCTCCATCTACAGCTGAGGTTAAGAATGTATGATGATATACCTCCACCCCCTCATAGAGCTCCATGGCATGGTATTTAATCAAGCACAGATACAATTTTATGTTCTTGCTTTTTGCCATAATTGGTTAATGATGTTTAGGGAAATAATTGCTTAGGATTACTTGGTTTCCGAACTTTGTCCATCATTTGGTATTCCAAACAGAACAATATCTTTTGGAAACTGGATCTGGAGAGTGATTCATATTCATTCTGACAGACTGAACTGAACATGTGCCTCCTCACCTATTCACCTGCGGATGAAAAACAAGTCCAGATCTTGAATATCAGACAGTAAAGAGACCCAGTAATTTTGAGTCCAAATCCTTTATAATTTTAATACAGTGATACAGCTTTGTTGTCGGGCAAATGAAGCCTCTCAACCACACTTGTGACTAGAAAACAAAAATAAACTGCATGCTGGCATGGAAACAGCAATAAACAATATTAATTTATCGGCAAGTTTACCAGCTACAAGGAGCATTCCGTATATAATGCCTCCTATTTTTTTTTTAATGAAAACTACAACAGATACAGAAAGCATAATAATGCAGTTAAATAGAGCAAGATTTCAGCTACTTAGTTATTTTTCCACATAATCACCACCATTCGTTACGCACTCTCGCCAGCAATGAACAAGAGCCTGTATGCCATGCCCATAAAAGTCTGCGCCAGCAGAGGCTAGCCACTTTCTTACAGCTGCAATGACAGCATCGTTGCTGGAAAATGTTGCCCATGTAGTCTATCTTTCATAGGCCCAAAGAGATGGAAGTCTGAAGGTGCTAAATCGGGGCTATAAGGTGGATGTGGTAGGACAGTCCAGCCAAACTTTGCAATGTGCATGGTGGTCGCCAAACTGGTATGGGGTTCAGCGTTATCATGTTGCAAGCGAAAGGTTGTCTGCTTCTCTGGCCTGACTCGGAAAATGCAGGCTTTCAGCTTAGTCAGCGTTGTCTTGTAGCATTCAGAATTGACAGTTTCACCAGGCTCCAGGAAATCCAACAAAATCACACCCCACCTACCACCTATCCCAAAAGACCGTGCACATCACTTTCCCTGGTGATGGCTGTGTCTTGAACTTCTTTTTTCTTGGGAATCCGGATGTTGCCACTCCATGGACTGTCTTTTGGATTCTGGCTCGTAGTGGCGACACCACGTCTCATCTCCGGTGACGATGTTGTCCAGAAACTTGTCACCTTCAGCCTCAAACTGGTGCAACAGTCCTGACAGACTTCCATTCGATGAGTTTTGTGGTCCTGTGTAAGCATCCTTGGGACCCACCTCGAACAAATTTTGCGATAATCCAGCTTCACCAACATTGTTTCCAATGCATTACAGCCGATATTAAGCCGTGCACACAGTTCCCTGGTTGTTATCCACCAATCTNACACTTCTATGTCAGACGCCATTCTGGTAGACTGCTCTGCTGTTGCTATCTGTCACACGACAACTAAACTAACAGTACATTGGCGAGAAGGTTCAACCTTTACTACAACACCACCAACATCCAGCTTAGATGTTACATATTAACACAAGAAAATAGGAGGCATTATATATGGAACGCCCTTCATACAAAGGCGATAAGGTGTACACTAAAATGTACGCATCAAGAACACAGATGATTCTGTATGTCAAAACAAGGTGTGTGTATAGAATGGAAAAGTGGGATATGCACATTGGTAGGGATCTGCTTCTTCCCACCTCCCCACATGTTGTATATGTACATCTCTGCCTTCTTATGAACATAAATCGTTTGTTGTAGCAGAAATGAAGTTCATGAATTGAAAAACAGGTGCAAATGACACATATTTCATCGTAATGAAAATTCATAAATTCAGTGTCTGTAAAACAAGGGATATCTCTCATTATTATTTATTATAAGACTCCAAGAAACACATAAAAACCATTGTAAGTAAATGCAGTTCCTTAATGTTAAAGCAGACGATATGCATCATTCATTGTATACATTACCTTGGATGACTTCTTGTCAATGGTAAAAATAGCTTTGTTGGGGTTCATGGCTGCTGTTGGGAAACAACTGCTAGCTCCACCAACAGCACTGACAAAGCTACTGCTGAAGGACCAAGCAGAATCACTGGCCCCTTGCAAAGATCTGATGTTAGAGCCGAGATCATTGGATGACTGGATTGGTTTCATGCTTCCAAGATCCGTGAAATAATTTGTTGAAAATGAACCTCGAGTGCGACCAGAAGAGAAGCTGCATGTATTTAACCCATCTCCTATAACAAAACAACAGAAACAGAAGTCATCTTTGTAAATTTCATCTCTCTTCATTCTTAATGTTCATTTGCTGCACACAAGAGGTATATTTGTTTCTTCTGTCATACCCACTTTGTGCTTGGTTCTTCTGGCAGAAATTAAGGCTAAAATTTTGCAACATAGGAGAACAAAGAAGCTTACTGATGACAAACTACTTAGAAATATATATATTGTAATGTGTTTGGAATCCAGAAGAGTTACTTCCATGGAAACGCTAGAACAGGCCGTTGCCTCCGAAACGAAAAAAGGGAAACGGCCCATATGGGAAGAACCAGTAATAGAAGTACCGGCCCTCCCCAGAGAGAACGAATGCGGGACGAATGAAAGCGAAGAATGAATGTGAGACAAGGCTACCAACAAATTCTCGGCTACGGGAGTGCTCGGGGCAAGCACCACTGAAGAGAGGGGCGGATGCGGTTGGATGAACAGCGCAGAAAGATGCCAGCAGAACACCGTGGAAATGGAAGAGAGGAAGAATCTTTAGGCTGTTCGGGACGAACAACCTTTAGAAGGGAGCAATGTAACGTGTTTGGAATCCAGAAGAGTTACTTCCGTGGAAACGCTAGAACAGGCCGTTGCCTAGGAAGTAACAATAGCGATACAGTAATTCTAACAGTGAGCATTGCATAGAGATGAGTTTCCACGGTTACAACAAAGGTTCGTTTGCATAGCAGAGGCCGAGGTTATAAAACGGGGTTGAATGCATTCAAACAGCGAGTCTGCCAATAACCGCTGAAGAAGACAGTTTGGTATTAGCCTCCATAGAAGAAGCAAGTCTGGAATTAACCGCCGAGGAGGACAGTGGATAATAATTGTACTCGTGATTGTATAAGTGAAGTGTCCAATAAAGGCTCTACTGAATTTGAGACCTACGTGGATTTACTTGTTGCGGGACACACAGAAAGCACGTAACAATATTTTCACCTTTACTTGTATTCTGTTAAACATCTCAGACTCCACATTTTCGTGTCTATACACAGAATCTTCATACTTGTTAACTGCTAATACAGAAGTACCACAAAAATACTAGCCATGAACAGATAGATACATTAATTTCCCTCATATTTCTGTAATCCCTTCTGACTTAAGTCATTATTAATAGGTAATTTTCCTGAGATTTATTATTATGTAATTTTGAGATGATATAAAAATATGAAAACTGTATTTTGTGTTCATGCTGGACTGTACTCTTTGGCTTAAATGAGAGCCAATAATCACTAATATTAAGAAATTTAACAGACTTTTGCCACCAAAACTAATCAAAAATATATTTCCTTTGTATGTCATTAAATGTTACAGGCTAGATAACAGTAGGAAAATCAAAGCAGAAGAGACAACTTAGGATCATGGGAGGATAATATTAATTAGACCTTCAGTTCAGTATTGAGGGGGTGGGTTTCCCCATGCACCGCGACCGATAGTCTATTGTACGTCCCCCTTTTTTTTTAATTTCTACTGTCTCCATCCCCTACTGGTACTGGTGCTCGCTATTAGCCCCTTTCTGCCAGCGAGGTTTCTACCCTCTACTTAGCAGTGGTATCTAATAGTTAGTCCCTTTCTGTCAGCGAGGTCATCCCTCCTCTGGCAGTGGTACCCAATACTTCCCCATCTACCAGAGGCATTGGAAACTACTTTGGGCGGGAAACTTTTTGGCCTAATTTAGCTCAGAGGTCTCCTAGAGACATGAGGTTCTTTTATGTGCCATAAATCTACCACACGGGACCCACAGCTTAAAGTCCCTCCCGGAGGACTTGTTCCCTGAATTTTTCCACCCTTAAAAATTCCACGACCTCCGCCGGGTTTTTGAACCTGCGTACCTTGAGTCATGAGGTGGGAATGTTACCCCTAGACTACAGAGGCCACTAAACTAGACTTTAAAACTAGATGTAAGAATATGGACCAGATTCAGCTGGCTCAGTATATGGATCAGTGGCAGGCTCTTACAATGACAATAATTGACCTCTTCACCAGCTGAGTGATTAGCTTCTCAAGAAGAACTTTACTTCTTGAGTTAGTCAGTTGGACATCAGAACAGGTACATTCTTAGAGACCGACAGTTTCCAAATTTCAAATATAGATGTCCCACTATGCACTTTATGCATAAAAACTCTGCACCAACATTATTCAATATATTTTATTTACATAAATTATACAATTTGGGATAACTCTGTCAGCATAGCGGCTACAGGCTGACCAACCACAATTCAATAACAATATAAAAGGTAAAGCTATCCCTGTAACAGGTCACGGATGCCCGCAGGGTTGTGAAACATCCAGGCTCCCACATTTTCTAGACAATCGGCTCACATGTGGCAATGAGATTGTCAGCCGTACGAACAAGCCACCCTTTACCCCCAGGAAGATTCCTGGTACTCATGTCTGTTACACGCTGAGTCCACCCCTGGGCCATAGTGCAGTTGGAAGGATTTGGTCAATTGAAAAATCCAATGACCTTATCAGAAATTGAACCTGTGACCTACTGGCTTGTAACATAATGCCTCAACCAACTATGCTACACCATGCCCCCTCAATAACAATATATGTATTCATAAAACCACCTGATGATGATTTTGTTAGATCGAAACCTGTAGTTGGATGAAAATAAAATAACCTTAAAATTACACATTTTAGTATTAGTTCATAATCAACTGTTGTGTTGGTGGCCCTTAAGAACACCTTTGATCAATCACAGTTCGATTCCCGGCAGCGGCAGGGACTTTCCTCACATTACTGTCTATAATTAACTGATGTCTGTAGATGAATCAAGGGCACACTGACACACAGATTGCTAGTATCAATGCATAGGATGCAGCATCTTCCATAAAACTTAAAAGAAAAAAGGTTATGTTAAATTCATATACTTTGCATACATATAACATTATGATCTTCTGGAATGTGATGCTATGTTGTTTTGTAGATAGGTACTTATCACCTCCATCTTCAGGGTAGACCATGCCATGAAAATGAAGACAGCAGGTGTCTCTGAAATCTTGGTACCTATCTACCAAACTACAAGACCATAACCTGAATGCTAAACACCATGAAAATGTTAACTGTCACCTACTAGAAACAATTAAAATTACAGCAAAATTTGGCAGGGTGTAGACAAACACTACACTAGAATAAAAAATTAGTATCAAATATAAACTCACCTGGTGTTGGCAAGGCACAAAAAATAAAAGAAAGAAACTAAGAACCAATGCAAATAAGAGACACAGAACAAAATGAATTTCAGTTAAGGAAAAAAGTAACAATCCAATGCCATAAGTAAAAAGTAAAGCTATCCCTGTAACAGGCCGTCAATGCCCATAGGGTTGTGAGACGTTGAGGGTCTCACATTATCTAGACAATCGGCTCAAAGATGGCGGTAAGGTTGTCAGCCTTACACGCCAGCCGTGCTTTACTCCCCAGGAAAATTATTTTATTAATTCCTGGTACTCATTTCTGTTAGAGGGTGAGTCGACCCCAGGGCCATAGTGCGTCCAGAAGGATTAGGTCAATTGAAAAAAAAATCCAATAACATCATCGGGACTTGAACCTGCGACCTTCTGGCTTGTAGCATAGTGCCTCAACCAACTACGCCACCGCGTGCCCCCAATCCAATGCCGATAAGGTCTAAATTAACCAGTTTCAGTCCCTCCACAAATTTATTAAATTATATATGTACACAGAACAAAAAAGTGTTCATTAAAAATCATGGAAACTGCATGCATGACTAATAATAGGAATGCGAAATTAAACATGCACAAGAAATAAAGGCCTTTATAATACTCCTTTCTGGTTGAGAAATCAGCCATCCTGGCTTCTCAGTGTGTCCAGACCAATGACAAGACAGAATCTCCTTCTACATAGTTTGCAATTCATTATTCACCAATTATCATCCCGTTAGATGCTATACAGATGACAAACTGAGAATTTCATAAAAAAACAAAATAAATAAATATTCTTTCAATTTAGACTATTGTTATGATAGACTAACATAATATGGCCACTGCAGCTTCAAAAGTAACTGACATCTTTCTTTCCAACTGACAAAATTCAATGAAATTTGGATGCTACCTTAATTTCATATTCCTTAATTTCCTACCATCAAAAATCCACCATGGTAGCCATGCAAAATCCTGAGGATGGCATTACACCAGGGTCCTGGAATTTCCATTCAGGTTATATTTTATAGTACATAAAGCACTGCCATGGTGGTGACACAAAATGTACAATATATTTAGCTTTCAACATGTGACAATTGCTAATGAACCATTTTAGCTAAGAATGTGATATTTGCCCTTGTTAGGTGGGTCCCTTGTCACCACAGCATGGTGCGTCCTCAGGTTGAGGATGGATGAGACAAGCTCCAGATATGGAGGGTAGCTGCGAATATACTGAATAAGAAGTCGAGGACAGCAGACAAGGGGTGGTCCACCAGCTTTGGGGTTGGGTGTGGGGATAACAGAAATGTTTTGAAAATGTGGTACAGTTCAGATATTTGGGAACAACTATAACAAATCAAAACCTGATTCTGGAGGAAATGAAGAGGAGATTGAACCTGGGTAATGCTTGCTACTTTTCAGTCCACAACCTTTTGTCTTCTTGTCTGCTGTCTAAAAACATAAAAATTAGAATATACATAATTATAATTTTGCCTGTGGTTCTGTATAGGTGTGAAACTTAGTCTCTGACATTAAGGGAGGAACACAGACTGAGGGTGTTTGAGAACAGAGTGCTGAGGAGAATATTTGCACCGAAGAGAGATGACGTGACAGGAGGTTGAAGAGAACTGCATGATGAGGAGCTTCACAAATTGTACTCTTCTCCAAGTATAATTAGAATGATCAAGTCAAGGAGGATGAGATTGGCAGGGCATGCAGCAGGATTTGGAAGAGGACTGCATATAGAATATTGGTGGGAAAGCCAGAAGAAAAAAGACCTCTGCTAAGACCAAGACGTGGCCGTGCCATAGCTCAAGCGGTCAGTCGCTGGCTTCCCATCGTGGCGGCCCGGGTTCGATCCCGAGTCTGGTCAAGTGGGATTTGTGGTGGACAAAGTGACATTGGGGCGGGTTTTCTTCAAGTACTTTGATTTCCCTTGTCAAGCTTCATTCCACCAAATTCTCCATCATCATAATCACCCGGGGCAGACTACAATAGGCCAATCAGTGGCCGCTGTACTGAGTGGACCCAGTTGGACTCCACCCCCACTAAGCGAAAAAAGACCAAGACATTGGTGGGTGGTCGCTATTAAAATGGATCTTAGATAGACAGGATGCGATTGATCTGGCTCAGGACAGGGATCAGTAGAGGGCTGTTGTGAACATGGTAATGAACCTTCAGGTTCCATAAAATGCAGGGAAATTCTTGAGTAGACGCACAACTGGCAGCTTCTCAAGAAGGGCTCAGCTCCACAAGTGAGTGTGTACGAGTAATGTGATATTTGCAATGAGGGTAAGTAATAAACTTACTTACAAACTCCAAACATGGTGACAAGTCCTGCCTGAGAACTTTCCTGTAGAGGGAACTGGTACTAGTCAATTTGTCACTAAGGTGAAAGATTATTTAAAAATTTTCCTGGCTTCTCTATAAACGTGGAAATATTTAAAGAATGTGGCTTCATAATTTAATTCAGAATGTCTTGTTACAGAAGTCCTGAAGTAACAGCTGGTTCCTAAAGAACAAATTGCTTGGGTACATTCACGAGTGTCTTTCAGAGCTGAGTACATGATGAGAAGAGTTATATCTGTTCTGAGGTTTCCATTTGAGGCAAGAGGTTTCATCTGAATAGGGAAGGTAGGAAGCCGGTGGTATTGTGGTAGGATCCTGGACTGAGTTCAATCCCTCAGTCATATCTGTGTGAAAATTTATCTGCTCGCAGACTGATGCTTTCACTTCTATCAAAGACAAATTTTTGGGAATGTGAACCTCCCCCAATGATGTGGATACCCTTCAGAAATGGATATATGTGCTTGCTTAGGTGGATAGAGGCCAAAATTATAGACATGGGTTATATATTTCAATTATCTTAGTCACTGAAGTATATCATGTATCAAATCAAGGATCTCTGGAATGAGATGAAGCACTTGACAAACAACACATAAATGTGGAAAAAGTGTAATTTCCAAAAATTCAGCATAAATTCAAAGTCTCAGCTTCTGTGATAAAAATTTCAGTTTTCTTCCAACCATGTCTTCAGTTACAATGACATGACAGTTTTGCTAATAGAGAGGTAATCTGCCAGCTTTCAACCCATACACACATATATACACACACACACACGGATTGGCCTAACTGCTGGTAAACGACGACTCAACGAGTCGTTGTTTACATTCCCTACAGTGCGGTCAATACTTTGTAAGATGAGGCACCGACTAAACAATTAATATTAACATCTACATCACGAGCCTCCTATACAATCTTATATACAAAAGAAAAAATATAGAATATTCCAATTGGTCCATGGGAACATATGAAATTACAAAACCAACGACTGATTCGATGTTATAAAACAATAATTACAATTTTATTCTTGTTTTACAATATAACTTCTGTTTTATATAATCTGATTATTTGTATTTTTTACATCAAGCGTTTTATATAATTAATAGTATTGTACCCAGTTTAATAGTACTGAAGTTCAGTGGTGTATATATGTTTAACCATGTATTTGCCTGATGATGGCTGTTGATAGCCAAAACATGTAGCAGAGCCGTAGCTGGGCACTGACCTTGATATTTGTTGCGTTGTGACAGTTAATAAAGAGGTTGAATATTGTAACACAACAGGATGCATGAAATGAAAATTTCACAACAGTGACTAAGAAGGATGCTGTCTCTTGGAACACAGCACTGTGCAGTCTGGTAAAAATTTCTGGATTCTTCAAAGGAAAGTACACTTCTCCAGCTTAGGATTTGGACAGTAGACCAAACAAGCAAATAGCAGAGAATAATCTGCTGCTTCCTTGCTTCATTTACCCTTTGACTCTGAAGATGGAGGCAGTACATTCCTCCAAAACATCTGTAAACCTTGACCTAAGTACATGGTGTGACACCTCAAAAAACAACACTCTTCTCCATTTTCAGGGGTTTACTGTCCTGAAATTATCTCTGTGGCACACACAATACCTTGTGATTTTCTCACTGCTGTCATATGTTTTGCAGAATGTAGCTTCTGCAAGCAGAAATAAGGTGCGAAAATCTAACTTCAACAAGAATGTGTGAATAAATGCAGAATGGAGAGTTTTATTATTTCAATATGTTATAAATATTGTTGAGAGGAAATCTATTCAGATACCTGTTACCCTTCACCACATACCACTTAAACATCACTTATGGGAAAACACCGCACGGCAATTTTATACAGATTAAAGAGAAAATACTAATTTTACAAGTCACATAAGAGAAAAGATATTAAAAACATTTCGAAAGAGAATAAGAAACCTCAAGAGACTCAAAGTACAGATAAAAACCTTCCACGGAATGTAATAATTCTGAGAAAATTTACCTACCCCGAATTTTTTCCATAGTCATTTGCGGCGGTGGGGTATCTGGATCAACCTCGTCTCTACGCAGCTTCAACCGCGAGGAACGAGGAAAACTTTGGTTTCCTTCAAAAGAAGATTTTCTCCAGCCAGTCCATCCTAGAGCTTCTGCACGCTTGTGCTTACCACATTGGATTCTATCAATAGGTGAAGGATAACTTGGAGTGTTACATTTCAGAACCTGTTTTCTTGCTGTATTTTCAACGTTTTGATCCAAAGAAAATGAGTTCTGAAAAGAGAGATGGTTACGGAATACTAGAAAGGTGCCTCCAATTATGCTTATGGGATAACATTCTAAACCAGCTGCAAGCTGTTTAACACACATCAGAATGCTCTTACTTCTTATCAGATGGTAATTAATTTTCTGGAATGCTGGAATGTTGCAAGTATACTTATCAGAAAACTGCTTTAAGAATCTATACTGCTTTTAGCTGAAAGAAAAATATACTATCCAAACAGAACACCTCTCACTTTCCATGCCAGTGCCTGCAAAAACAAGTAGCCAACAAAAGGACACTCACAGACAGCAAAAAAAAGCTGGTTTTAAACCCAAGTGTGACAAATTAAATTCTGCCTATCAGAAAATAAGATATCAGAATAACATCAGTCTCACATAAGCATCCTGTCCTCTTGGCCAGTAGTCTCAAATTCTATTACAGCAAAATGTTTACACTCAGCCAACTAGAACAAGGATAATTCCACATCCAACTACATATAAAGAATGTGCCAGAAACACCTGATGATTTTTTAATTGAAATAACTTTTCACAGCAATGTGAAACAATTTATTATCACAGGCAGCTACATTTTCATTTACACTGAGACTGTTTTAAGCATTGCTGTTTGAATATAACACCTTCAAGGTGACTCCTTCAGTTGAGATGGCATGTATGATGTAACACATCATAAGATTTCACTAGGGATTCCTTGAATGTGCTCCAAAATTCACTGTTTCAAATCATCAACATTGGTAGGACATATCTGATAGACACTGCTTTTGACATAGCCCCAAAGAAAGTAATCTGGTGCCAGAAGACAAGAAAAGTGGGCAGACACGTTGATGTTAACAAAACAAGAAATCAGTCTGCCTGGAAACATCTCCCTGAAAACTGCCATGGAAATCTATACCCAGTGAGCAGCTGCTCCATCTTGTTAGTACCAAGATCATGAGCATATTGATGCTAATAATAATGCAATAGCTCAGTAACCCATTAGGATAAAATGCTGGAAAAAAATATATGGACTAAACTTCATTATTTATCTAAAGTTGCAGTATTTTTAAAAAATTACATGACTTTTAACATAACTTTGAAAGTTTCCAGCATATAAGAAAGTACATACATGTATATGATGACATAATAATCCATTTTGCTTATATGACAGTGAAATTATATAAATTGTGATGGCTTAACCATGTGGACAGCCCCTCTGTATGGCCTGTAATACTTCATAATAGCCTGACATAGGGTATGTGAACTGATGTGCTGCATTTTGTTGGTGCAGAATGTATACCACACAGTTAATATACACTGGCATGCCAGCCAGTACAAATCTAAATTATTTTAATAGTATCTGACTGTATCTTCCATATACAGAATGTCCCAGGAGGAATGGACCAAACTTCGGGAGGGTGTTCCTTATGTTAAAGTATGCCGATATAACCCAAAACACCTATGTCCAAAGTTGAATGGTTACGAAGATAATGGTCAGAGAAGTGTCAAACTTTGACCGGCGTAGCACACTTGTTGATTACAAAATACATATTAAAACTGGCAGGAATATNCATTCTGCTGCATTTATTTCAACTGAATATAGTATGAGGGTAGACGACCTCAATGGGTATATTTAAAAACCTCCCCCAAAAAATGTTCTGCTTATAGCTCAAGAACCATTCATCCTAACATACTGAGGTTTTTTTTGCATCATGCAGTGCATAAGAAAACAAAAAGTGTTATGCTTACTCTGTGTGTCTGTTATAGTTTCTGAAATATCAAATTTTCAAATTTCCAAAAATAAATAATAATTTTCAAGAATTTGCAAAAAGGTGAGGATTTGGAATTAATTGATTAATTTCCCCAAAATGCTATTATTTTATATCCATAACATTAAGATCAACATCATAACATTTGAAGAGTAATATTTTCTGGGATATAATGCCATGTAGTATGCTGAAAGTCAACTGATGTTTCAGAAGAATATGTCACCTCCATTTTCAAGGTCAAAGAATATACAAGCATGAAATCAGAGTGAAAGAAGGTGGCAAGCAGAGCTCACTTTTCTTCACTACTTTGTTCAAGACAGTTCTTACTCTGATGAACATATAATGAGTTATGCTCATGGTATGCGCAGAAACATATGTAGGTCTTCATGTAGAGAGATCATTCTCATTTTACTCAGAACTGAATTTGTTGACAAACTATAGTAACACTCTCCAGTGTCAGATTTCATGGAAATCTGCTTACTGGTTCTCAAATTATTCTTTGCATATACACAGATGGACAAAAATGCAAATCAATTTTAATGTGATCTATAGAATTGTGAAAGCACTTAAAACATTTCCAACTCATGTTTGCTCACAAGGCTAAAGCCATGTGAACCAAACAAAAATCACATTTTCTTGCCTTTGGCACTAGTTGGAGATGAGTGATCAGCTTAGCGCCCCGGCCGCTTTACCCCTGGGAAAGAGCCCCCGGTACCCATTCAGTTCAGTTATTCAGTATTAGAGGGGGTGAGTTTCCCCATGCAGCATGACAGTTTCCCCATGCAGCGTGACTAGCCTATTGTACGTCCCCATTTAATCTCTACTGTCGCCTTACCCTACTGGTACTGGTGCCTGCTATCAGCCCCGCTCAGCCAGCGAGTTCGGCCCCTCTACTGGCAAATGGTACCCAATACTTTCCCCATCTACCGGAGGCATTGAAAACTACTTGGGCGCAAAACTTTTTACCTAATTTTGCTCAGAGGTCTCCTAGAGACATGCGGATCTTTTATGTGCCGTAAATCTACGACACAGGACCCACGGCTTAAGGTCCCTCCCGGAGGACTTGTTCCCTGAATTTTTCCGCCCTTAAAAATTCCATGACCTCCAACGGGTTTGAACCCGCGTACCTTGAGTCATGAGGTGGGAATGTTACCCCTAGACTACGGAGGCCACTTCCCAGTACCCATTGGATAGGAGGTTGGGTGAACCCCAGAGCCGGACTGGACAACGTGGAGAAGAGAAAATTCTTGACCCTAACAGGGTCCAGTCACTATACTGACTGTACTGACGGCTCCCACAATTCACCAAAATGTGACGTTAATACTGGAAGCCTGCAAAATATCTGAACAAGAAGCAGTGAGCATCACCTGTTTACATACCAATGCTGCCTCTCAATGACTTACAATCCACCTCAGACAATTGCTTTTTTCATTGACTGCAGTGAATATCAAGGGCCTACCAATTTATGAAATACACTAGACGGTGCATTCACTGATAATACAATTTAAAACATCAACTTCAAACAGTGCATTCTAAGACAGGGGTGAGTCAGTAACTATTATAAAGACAAACAAAGAATTCACTGAATCATTACTTGAGAAAATGTTACTTCTATTTGGTCATTCAGTCACTGCAAAACACCAAGGCATGTTGCTCAGAGAACTTAAATGTAACCTACAAGCAGGTGAACCTGTGGTTTTGTGTGACTCTGCAGACAACTATTCTTTCACTTCACAAGACAAAGCATAGGGTTGGTACTGGAACAATGCACAAACCACCATCCATTCATTTGTAAATTATTTCAGCTAAATCAGACGCTTTAAATACAGAGCATGAGAATCATGACATCAGATTGTTTGAAACATGATTCCACTTGGACACATATTTATGCAAGTTAGGAAAGCTACACTTAACATAAAAATTTATTCTGCTTCTCCTACTTAACATAAAAATTTATTCTGCTTCTCCTAACTATACAGAGAACTGTGTGATTAATGTTCTACAAGATGTGACTCAATTAAAAAACTGCTAAAGGATGTGTGAAATGTATGCATGACAATCACTGGTAGTTAGGAAGTCTACTGTCAGAGAGAAATCAAAGGACATGAAAAGTTTTCCTCATCCTCAAAAACTCTCTGCATCATCTACGTACATCCAGTTACACCAGATATTCTGTGGCTTCCTCACTCAGATATTCTAGCACTGCAGCAGGAAGTACATACACTTTTACTGGAGAGAAAAACAAATTAAGAGCGGATAGAAATAGAACATCCACCTCTAACTTCCACTAACCATAAAGAAAGAACCTTACATTTCTTATGTAAGTTATGTAAGTCATCATCCTCAACTGTTTGGAAGATTTTACTGACAGTTTCTATTAGCTTTAATACAAGCACATTTCCTACAAGATGGTATCTTTCTGTATAAATTTCAATACTTCTCAATACCTGAAAATAGTTAATTTATGATAACTTAAATTAATAAATGTAAATAATTTAAGAGAGTAATTCAGGATGACTGTGTTTTTTTGACATCGTCCAGTATTCTAAAGAACACAAAATACCACAACATTTTGGAAACCAGACCTGTTTCTGTCCTAAGGTAAGGGAGTAGCAGATACCTACTCTGTCGGGTCTGTTATGATAGCAAGAGCCAACCTCAACCACTGCACCCCCTCACATGAGTACAGAAACAGGTGAAGTTTCTGAAATGTTTAGTTCTTTAGAATACCACAGATAATGTCCCAAAACCCACTACTCCCAACTGTTATACACCATCATCAGAACCCTTCATAATCTAAGAGAAACATGTCTCTTTAATTTGCTTTATTAGTGTAGGTGAAGTCAATCTCTATAGTGAGAAGCTTCATAAAATGCAATCCCACTGTAGTCCCAACCTGATATTTGCAGATGTTTTAAATAATAGTTACATGCATTCAATATAGGTATTCTTTTCTAAAATTAAAATACCAAATTTTGAGGAATGGTCAAAGGTCAAGTTTGAAGACCTTCAAACTATGACTGTGCTGAATATACTGGTGTAACAGACAACTGGGAATGGCATTTTGTTACCTCTGAAATGAACCTAAGGTGAGTTCAGTGTCTCAGTTAAGACAGAAATTATGCCACTTCCTCTAAAATAATTTGTGCCCAAAAACAAGTTCCTTTGACAACTTTGCATATCTGCTCTCCAAAATCAAGTAGCCATTAAGCAGTAATATTTTGCCAGGAATATGTATCTCCATTGGTTCTGCAATCTCACAAAACATCATTCAATTCTACATGGGATTAATTTGGAACTACCTCTTCTCTGTGCTGATTTTGTGTCAGATGACACCTGTGTGTTCTGTTGAGAATGACCAGATCTAAAAACACCAATATTATGTGAATTTGTGACACTTTGGTTCATTTAATTATTTTCACCAGTGGATATATCAGAAAACTGTTCTACATACAGTTCCACCATTACTAACTTTGGCTATTTTCTGCACCTTAAACCATGTTTCCTATTGCAGAAAACCACAGTGTGTGAGAGAGTTGATAATCTTTTATACTATTACTAGTGACAGACCAGAATGAACTAAGTCAAACATGTGATACATTCCTGCATATGTTGTCTTGAAAATAATAAATTATTAATTCTTTTAACAAAAGTTAACATTTTTATTACTTTTTATCCTAGAAAGATGAAATAAGTGGGGAATAGAAGATATAACACAGTAAGAAACTTTGTTATTTATACAATTCACTTGTATTACCATGATAGGTAAACCAATGGATTGACTGAAAGGATAAAATAAAGCACTCATGCAGAACTGCAGAGGAGAAATGCCTTGAATAGCATCCATCTTAAAGATAAAGGCCCTGGGAGGATAGTATGTGAGATGGATCACAGGAAAATGGGCTGTGATAATGAAAATGGTTTGAAGTGATTCTGCAGCATTCCCAACAAATATCAGCACTGAATTTTTGAGATCTATTAAATGAAGCTTGCATTAAAGTAGGGGCTGTTGGCATATTCTGCAACAAAATAAATTGCAGCCATCAAATGTGACCTAAAATTACAACATGGGAAACTTACTTTATTTATGACACCGACCCTCCAGAGGCATTTGGGTGTAACTGACACATCCAGTGGTGGGATTCTGGAAGAAAAGAATACAAATAATTTCAATATCCTGTAAGAACATATCTAATCAGCTATGCTACAGTTATCAATAATCACAATCATTCTACTGCACCTTGTTTTATATTACTACATCCATTAAGAGTACACTTATGAAGCCGGAATATTTGTTAAGGCAAATTGTCAGCTGTTGAAATTGTTACGTAAAAATAAAGAGAGGAAAAATAATCGGCAACTATTTCGTACGTTTTACAATTTTACATTTTAATAGTGCTTTGCACGAAATGTGTCCTTGCTGACATTACATACATGGTATTCAGGGTAAGAGCAGACTGTACTTCCCAATCAATACCCAAACTTCGCGACCGCGCATAACACAACTCTCACTCATGGCTTGCAGAAAATAAAACTTTATTTAGAATCGCTGAACTTATTTCTGTATCGTGCAATGTGATTTTAAAAATACCAAATGCGTTAAAAATTGTGTAATAATATTTATCGGAGACTAGTAATCCTATTTTATTACTTTCACCGTTACCTGTTTGAAGTTTCCGCCATCTTTCCAAAATTCATATATGAATTCTAGTTCTAGTCCCAGTCGCCAGGGTCGCAAAGTCGCGGAGTGTTACCAACCAAAAGCACAGACGGCTCAGATTATCCCCCATGTATTAAGTTTTCTGGCTTGACTCCTTGTAGCCTTGTATATTAAGTTCCATATTTTACAGGATAGTTTATAGACATCAAAATAAGTAAGAAACTTAATTTGAATATCTACCCCGTGGATCTTCTTTAAAATAATTTACAAATCAGCTGCTAACATCACAGTATGAAGAGCAGACGACCGGAGAGCATTTTGTTCGTGTCTCATGGTGGTCATAGAAGTCAGTGAATGTCGATGAATTTGCAATGTAAAAAGACATTTTTATGTTTGTCAGTGGGTCCCCCTGTTCGACGAGGGGATGGACCTGACCTGGCGGACCTTAGTACTTGTGGTCACCAACCTCTACTGGGTGGTCATTCGAGTAGGCGCTCACTCACTGCCTCTTTTCACCGCACGCACACGCACACACACACAAAGTGTATGTATATATGTATATATATACTGTCAGGAGGGATGTTTGAAAACTGACTGCTGAATTGCTGTTGGATTCGCCAGCACAGTAACCTTGGGATTCAGTCTAATGGTTGTGGGTGCTCTCAGAACTTCTGTTTTGGAGCTAACCCTGTTTAAATACCAGGTGACTGACTGAATGCTAAGTTGCTGCTGCCCCTTACCAGCTTAGTGATTCTTGGCCCCAAGTCCCATGGTAATTATGACCATATTTTTCTGACAGCTCTGGAAACCTTCAGACCCTTTCCTGTTTTAAAACTGATTGACAGACTTTTCTATAAACTGGAATACCCTGGCATACGATTCTCTAGCATTCTGTGGCTTCCAAATGCAAGTTCTCGCTTGCAGATATCATGTAGCAACTGCGACCGTGGTCACCTGCAACTCTTCAATATGATATTTGCTTCTGTGAAATGGAGTAGCCCAAGTAAAATACGTTTGTCGGAATAGAATTATTATGACCATTATAAAATCATTTCATGTTTATGCAAGCTTAAGTTTCAACTTTCTCTTCCCATATGTAATAAATGTTTTTAAAAAGAGCTCTCTTTTTTTGTAACGAACATAAGTGAGCGCCAATACCCTACATTCCCCTACCTCATACAGAATTCTGTTCCATGGCTTCCCCTTCTCTTGCCTCTAATATAGACGAGATTGAAAGGTGCAATCTGTAATGGACTGAATGCAGTTTCCTATCGTGAAGAAAAATCTTCCCTCTCAGGAGCAATCCAAACAGTGATATAAACAGAGTTCAAGTTGTGAACCCAATGGATATGCCAATGCTGCAGGTTTAAGTTGAAAATGACATTTCCATTTCTGAATTTTCAGGGATGTTATTTCCAATAATGGACTCTCAAATATGGCCCACAGACACTCCAGCATTCATACAAACTAGAATTAACTAGCCCTTTACGAATAGATATAATTCAGCACAGCTGCACAACAAATAATCAAAAAGAAACAAAATAGACACTACTGTGTCAACATTTGTTTTTATTCATTGTTGGTGGTATCTTAAATAACATAAAACAGGATGCATACCATAAAGGTTGTAACAAGCCCTTATTAACCATGGTACAACAAAAAAGATTAGTGTAGCAGTGACATGAGATATGCATTCAGAGGATACATGGTTTGAATCTTGGCCAGCTTGCTGAATTCCATGACAGACTCTATTTATGGTTTTCCTCAATCTTTCTGGGTAAATGCTTGATAAGTATATTCAAATAGCCTCTCAAACACTTGCCTACTCACCATCAAATCTGTCTTCCCACCTAACTCAATATAAAACACTGTCATTATATTTCAGTAATCTAAAAATCAAGCAATGAGTAAGGTGAAACTATCATTAAATGACTGATGGATTCATAGCATAATTAACTCTTCTTAATGTTCACATTATGAGAAGAACTTAAGACTGACCACTGAGGAACCAGTTGTTAGCTCCTGCAAATGCAGTACTGAACTTTAAGTTTCTCAGGGACTCTCTGATCACTGAATGGGTGTAGCTAGTTACAATATTATGAGTTGTCTTCTAAGTTTTCATTTTTAACATCTTACAGGGAATCTGTCAGGTACAGAATTTGAATCAAAATGTCACAAGCCGGATTTGAGCATGGGTTTCAGGTATTTATGAAATGATTCATTAACAGTGTCCTGATTCAAAGGACTCTTGGAAGCTGCTGCAAACAGTCTATCATACACCTGTCCATCCCAAGAACCAAGAGTTGATGCAATAATGTCATCATGGAAATCAAAACCGTCCACAATTCCAACAGCATTGGGTCTCAGCTCAGACAGCAGTGTCTCCATACGGTTCTGCAGATTACAGTAGTCCAATGGAGTCATCTCTGTGTACTGTTGAACACAAGCAAACAGAACATGATTCAGAGAAACACTTTTCATTCCTTTTGGGAGGCTCTTCCTGCATTCTTCAGATGCAAGTCATTACTGCCCATAAATGATGTCACTTCCCACAGGCTGCATCACAAAAAAAAACTTTATGATCTTCCTTTAAACTTCAGGAAGAACACACAGAAGCTATACTGTGAAACTCCGCCTCTTAGCTCACAGAGCCATATGATGCGGAGTTTTGTATGAATAAAATCTGTGCAACAACGCACTGCTGTCACAATACATCCCTGAAGGTATCCATAACCCAATGCTTCCTCACCTTCCACCTACAGACAAGGAGTTTCTGCTGTATATGTACAACCTTGTATGGCCAGAGAACTGGATGCCTTCAGAGCAGCAATTCTGCTTTCTTTATTGAAACCAGGTTAGGACTGCTCCCTCACAGCTAGTTATCAACTATCAATTTGACCAGTTGTGTTTCTAAGATAATGGAGTGAATGGTAAACTGTCAACTTGTTTACACTTATAAGTTGTTATCTGATGGCTCAACTGGTTGTGCCTTTGTCTACGAAGACGAAACATGTGCGTGTACACACGTGCCCACTCATACATGCATGCATACACATAGACACAGAAACACAAAATATATGCTAGGTTATATCTATGCTGCATACAATCATTAAATCATAAATATTTCCACACTTCTTAAACTTATTTATTTGGTGTCATGTGAAATCAACTGAAAAATTACACAGAATATTTAGCATGAGCTTTATCTGAAGTTGTTTTGATAAGATTTACTTTTTTTATAAAGGCAAAAACCTATGACATATTTTGGGAAATGGAAGGACACTCATGTGAGCTGAAGAAATAGAAATGGACACAATGCCATGAGTTGAACAGCCCTCGATTAATGTATAAACATAAGTAGGAAAACTAAAAATATTGTGGTTATAACTGTGGTCTTTATTTCAGAACATTTAACTGGACTCATGGTGTTTGCAGCAAGACTCTCAATACAATGCTATTTTATTTACAAAACACCCTCTGATTTTGAAGTTCACAAAACATATTACTAATATCTGCCTCATTCCATCTCATTCATTTTTTCACAGCTAACTCTGACACTGTGAAATGGCTGCCACCTGAATAACATACTAGCCTCACGCTTGTAGACATGAGCAATTCAGAAGATAAGTCAGGTTGACTTCAGCCTTATTTCTTGTACTCTGTCCCATGAGTTCATTTAAGTACTTTAATACTTTATTGTGGCACATCAAAAGGATCACAAACAACACCACCGTGGATCTCTGGTTCTGACTGCAGTGCCTATGAAGCGTATGATCTTTTGGGTTGCAGTGCCATCTGCATGGTTCTAAAGATGGAAGTATTACATCTTCTGAACAGTTGGTGGACTTTTACTGAACTAACTAATTAACTACATGGAGCTGAGACCTTCTTGAGAAGCTGCCAATTGTGCAGCTACTCAAGAACTTTGCAGTATTTTATGTTACAGTGTTCACAAGAGGCCTCCACTTGTCCCTATCCTGAGCCAGATCAATCCAGTGCATACCAACCCATGTTATCTCTTTAACATCCATTTTAGTATTGTCTGCCCAACTATGTCTCAGTCTTCCTAGTGGTCTCTTTCCTTCTGGCTTTCCCACCAATATCCTATATGCATTCCTCTTCACCCCATTCATGCTACATGCCCTGCTCATCCCATACTCCTTGACTTGATCATTCTAATTATATTTGGTGAAGAGTATTAAGTTATGAAGCTCTTCATTCTGCAGTTTACTCCAATATCCTGCCACTTCATCTCTCTTTGTCACCCTGTTTCTCAGACACCCTCAGTCTACATTACTCCCTTAATGTCAGAGACCAAGTTTCACACCCATACAGAACCACATGCAAAATTATAGTTCTGTATATTCTAATTTTTATGTTTTTACACAGTTTACTGAACTACACTGTAATAAATGTAAAGTTGTCCCTGTGCTTAATTAAAGGGCAGCTGGGCCGCACAGCCAATCTGGAATTTGTACATAGGAGAAAAATCTCTTGACCCTGCTGGCAACTGCCTGACTGAACTATTCTGGCTCCATACTACACAGTGTTACACCCCAAAGAACCCTATTCTTCACAAACAACACTAGTTCATGCTGCCATGATACTGTTATTCAGCCAGGTTGGTCAACCTATAAATCGAATTCTTAAACCAGTAGTGCCAACAGTATTGGACATTATAGAATTCCTGTTAAACCCTGCAATATCTCAGTCATACTACAATAATCATGTGGTTCCTAAGAAGACGATCTGTACGTTGACAATATATTATCATCGCACACTGAAGAAAGAGTCTTTTATGTTGTAATGATATCTGTAGGGAGTCAAGTAGGTCTAGTATGTGGACTTTCTAAACCATCTAATGGTGAGACAGAAAAGAGCCCGAAAAATGTAAATATTTATGGACATTGAATCAAAGTAATGTATATCAACACTATGTTCTTTATAAGCGATTTCTTGACCAGTACAATATTCCATTGGTTCACCACCCGCTTTGATCATTGGAATGTATTTCCCACACACTGCAGAGTACAAAAGAGAGAGAGATTTCTCAAAATATTAAAGATCACCCAAAGCACATTACAAGAATTCAGTCACATTCCAGATCAAGAGTATTAGATGTGTTTCAACAAATGACAGGGTTGCAGTAATAATTATTTTCAGTCAGAAAGAGATTAAAATGATACGGTTAATTTTAGTAGCCAATTCTACATTCAGTTTTACAAAGAAAAATCCAGCTCAAAATTTTATTACCATTCGTGTCTGTAAAGGGTCTCATGAAAGACTTATTAAGGAGTTCTATAGCCATTTCAATTTCCTCTAACCACATACAATAGTGATACTTTGAATATGACACAAGTGTTATCATCAATGCGTAACAAAGAGATATCTTACCATAAGGAAGTCTCCTGAGTTGCGGAGGAGGGTGTAGATGGTATACAGGTCCCTTAGCTGGGCCAGTACAGTCTTCAGAGCAACAGAAACATTCAGCTCTGCCACAGCGGCAACAAATCTCTCCACAAGAATGGCACGGCCATGAGCCTGCATAATTGAGGAGGGCCTCAGAATATTGGAATTATTAAAGTGGTTTAGCAATGTGGCATTTACTGTTTTTCACATTTATTTTACTTCTCGCTGAAATTGTTGTCATTATCATTAAACAAAAGAAAGAACAAGAACAAAACAAATTTTATACACTGTAATTTACGTTTATTTTACTTCTATTAGGAATTATTATCATTGCTGAATAGTGACAACAATGATCACCACCAACACCACAGCAACAGCAGCACCAACAACAACAACCACCACTATGACAAAGAAATTTGATTTGTTTCATTCTGGTCCGTCACTAACAATATTATATAAAGTTAAACAGTTCCATCCAGTGTGACTGGTGAAGATTTTTCTTATTTCAATTCATCATGCCCTTACATGTTTCAGTCTTTAGAGACCATCATCAGAGGGACATCAATACAGTTGGAAGCTACTATTACAATATACGTTCTAAGCGTTAAAATATACATATAATGTTAATAATATACAATTGATTATAAAATATAAAGTTTTTACAACTACAGCAGCTGTCTTAATATATTAAAATTGTTGTAATTGGTTTGTTAAGATTTTGTTAGAAATTATAAGCCAAGTAGGTTAATGTCCTCTTTCTTATTACTTCTCTTGACAGGGCCAAACGTGTGCTGCCTTGTCATTCTTGAGAAGAGGGTGCTTTGATGTCGTCCTGTGGGTGTTCATGGTGCACCACGATTTTATATCCAATCGTATATTATTAACATTATATGTATGAGTATATTTTTTAACACTCAGAACATATTGTCACGTGTTGGGTGTATAACACACAACAAATAATTTCACACCGTAATGAATATAGCGAATTTATTCCACTCGCTCTTACAATCACACGATTTACAATCTCACAATTACTGCCATCGGCAGTATCACAATTACTTCCACTGTTTCCATTCACTCCAGCGAATGCTAGACTTGCAACTGTCTTTGGTGGCTGCTATATTTAACTAACTGGTTATTCTCTCCCCAGTAACTGGTTCACTAAACACTATTGAATAGTGTTCGCTGCTCCTTATTTAGCCTTGGCATGGACAAGACAGAAAACAGTTATGTGATAGGTACCGCTGTTGCCTGACGCCATGTTTACCGGTGCTGCTAGCAACGCTGTCGAGAGTTGTCTCCTGCTGCGTAGCAACCGCGGTATCCCTAGGTAACAACACAGCCGCTCCTCTGCCACGTCACCGCGGGGGAGGGGGGCGCCCACCGAGCGTTGCGTACTGGTGGAAGGAGTGGGAGTATGTGACGTCACTTGTGAGACCACAGAGTTCATACGACCACCACTTCCCGCCACGCCATCCATGTCACAATATATTGTAATAGTAGCTTACAACTGTACTGATGTCCCTCTGATGATGGTCTCTAAAGACCGAAACATGTAAGGGAATGAAGAATTGAAATAAGAAAAATCTTCACCAGTCACACTGTTTAACTTTTTAAAACAAAGAAATGTTACATTCTTATGCAGAGGACGTTTTTTAGATTTTATTCACTTGAGGATGAAGGCAGCATATTCCCTACAAACATTAGTACCTACCTACTAGATTACAATGCATTAAATTTGAGAATACCACAACAAAACAGAGCATTAGAGAGAGCAACTCAGAATGGCAAAACATGTCAACTAATAATATCTTCAGAAAGGAAAGTTTGACCATTACACTTGTTTAATATACAGAACAGTATAAATCCATGAAATGTAACTAATTTAATAATTATATAATGAAATGTTTTTGTTCATTTAATTAAATTCCAACAATGCCAGTTCTAAGCCTGGATGTGAATGGATGAAGGTTTGGGATTAAAAGAATATCAACCCTGCAAAATATATTCAGTCACTAAACAAAAACACGGCAGTATAACCGTTATATCTAATACTGAGGTGTGTTCAGCCAGCACAGAAGCTCTGATGGCATGCCGATCATTGCTAGACAGCAGCCTGTTGAAAGGATAACTAATATGCATTCAAGATTTGTAAGAAGGTTGGCCAGAAGAAATAAACTTTTTTTTTTTATTGCTAGTGGGGTGGGACTAAGTCCCTTGTACTGCAGCCACTTCTGACCTATTGTACCAGCCCCAGATGAGGGTGAGGATGACTGTGGAGCAATTGGTGGAATGAAGATTGGCAGGGGAAACCGAAGTACTCAGAGAAAACCTGCCCCAGCGCCACTTTGTCCACCACAAATCCCACTTGATCAGACCCAGGATCGAACCCGGGCTACCGCGGTGGGAAGCCAGCAACTAACCGCTTGAGCTATGGTGCGGCCTGAACAAACTCATAGCAACCACAGCAAGAGAAATATAATGAATGGAAGAACAACATAATTAATTTTTGTGCATAAAGTCTTGTTTACAAACGTGGACAGCTAGAAGACATTTTGAGAAAATAAAAATTTCAGTAGCACTTATTATGAAAACAAAACGGAATTTAAAGAGCTCAAAACGAATTAAGACATATTCAGTTTTATGGTGGGTTAGGAAAGGGAAGTAAGCAAAGGTAAAGGCTGGAATAACGATTGTGATAAACAAGCATCTTTCATCTGGAATGGAGAGGTAATATAGTTGCAAATGTCCCAAGGATACATGACAAAAATATGGGTTTATGTCCAGGTTGAAGGAGAAGATTCTATACAACATTGACACTCCACATATGATTTAAGGCCATTGCTGATGTTAAAATTGAACGAAACACAGAAAGACATGGGGGACAAATCTGTAAGAGAAGTGTCTTTAAACAGTATGGCCTTCATAATGAATTGAAAACAATGAACATGTCTGAACATAAGGACAGCCATAAATATACATGGATGGCCTGGAATCGGAGATATACCTTATTATGTAATATGCAACAAGAAGCTAGCTAATATTGTTTTAGACACTAAGAGTATTCCTTGGCCCAGAAATAGAATGGGATCATTTTCACTAACAGGACAAATCTGCAAGAAACCAACATACCACAAAAATAAATAAGAACCCCACAACACAGATACCTCTTTCAAGGTAAATCTACATATATAGATATATATAGAGATCCCAATATAACATGGCTATACACACTCACACTTAACATCCTGGTTCAAAGGACACAAATAGGTGAAAACATTGAGGAAAAACAGAAACTCCTGCAGAACCTATTGTCACAGGTTAGTGACCAGACACAGGGCACACTTCAATAACTAAATTTATAATTTATTGGATGTTTATCACTCTTAACTACAGAAAATTACAACATTCTTACTGTTCTTCACAATCTACAAACAACTACAACACGTTCCAAGTCTTTCCTGTCTGCTGTTATGCTCATGCATTAGTTGCTTTGTTATGGCTTCCAATAATGGGGACTCTCCCTGTTGTGTCTGTGTTCGACAAGCTTCATTTTTGGGTCTTGCTGGTTCTCTTTCTCCCACCCAAGGAGGCCTCCCTTTCATGTCTATTGTTGCCATCATTAATAGCACCACATCGCCATATTGTCCCAGATCTTATTCTTCCGTTTTGGACACTGCCCAATCTTCATTCACTGTGGATTTGGTCCCAAGCTGCTGATGTTGAAATGCTCCCATCTCATGGCACTAAGTCCTCCCTGACATGGCTCGCTATGGGGTGCACCTCTGTTACTCTGCTTCAGCCACCAGCGGTCTCAAGCCATCCCTAAGGGAAGTCCCTTAGCGGTTGAACCCTCCTCAACCTACATACTCCAGCTCGGTGGGTGGTACTGGAACCCGGTCCCACTAGGCTAACCACAGCTTCCATTAGGCTTTCCACCACTTGCTGTCACTAAGACAGCTTAGGATCTAAAGATCCTAACTGTTACCTCTCTGTACATCTTTGAGGTATTGTGCTACTTTCAGAAATTTAATCTGTATACTACTAGAAATTCAGATTTATATGAATATAATACTAGAAGAAAAGAGGACTTCCATGTACTAAGCTGTAGCACATCTACCTCTAAAAAAAGTGTCATAAATATGGGTATTAAAGCTTACAATAGATTGCCTTTGAAAATAAGAAAATTAAATGGATTCAAAGATTTTAAATATAAATTAAAATTATTTTTACTTGATAACCCATTTTATACAATGAAGGAGTTTCTCTTTGAGGGACTGCAGGATGAATAGAGAAACTCTGCTCAAAATCCTTAATGATGATTTGATGATGTGTTTTTATCCTTGATGAGTATGGTTGTGATGGTTACTTTAGTAACTTGATTTTAAAGTAGTATTTTTAAAGTTGGTCGATTAAGCATAAAGGTAAATAAACTTGAAATTAACTTATTTATATTTAAAATAAATCCAAAATTTGTGTACTTGTATTCTGTATTGTAGTTTTAATTAGAGTATGTCTCTGTTGACATAGGAACCCTTTAGGCCGTGGGCAAAGGATTCCTGAATGATTGTACCACATGTTTTGACTTGTCCATGTGTTACTTTGTAACAGTTACGGATGTTAATAAAGATGATGATGATGATGATGACTACTGTTCCATGCCAAATCGCCACTACTTCGCCAGTTCTCGCCATATGGGGGAATAAATGTGATTGTGCCATGGGTCACCATAATGGCATGTCTTCATTGCCCAGTTGTAGTATATGACACCTCAAATCCATGAATGCATTGTGGGCATGCAAGACAACCAGTCCCAGGATGAAGTTGTTTGTAATTTTGTTGATGAACACCTAAGTTGCCAGTGGGCACCCCTTCCCCAGAATCAACTCTACTAACGCTTCCTTCAAGACAGGGTGGGTCTCCACTGACGCCATTTGCTGGACGTATGGTCTGGTCAGTTCCCTCTTGGGCAGTCCTGCAGTGATGTCTAGCCTGGCTATTGTTATTGGTGCTCCAGTGCCAATGGTCACAAGATACGACTTGCCTCCTACCCATCCTTCAGCATTCAGGCTGTCATTATCCTTCCTTGAGGACATATAGGGTGTATAACGACGGGTTGATACTCAAAGCAAGCACCTTCTTCATTGTATCCTCTACACATTTCTTGGGTCTCAGTCAAACTCCTTCCAGGAAGTCATTCTGGAGGTATCCTTGTTGGCAGTGTCCTACGACAGCCAACGCTCCATCACTGCCAGTAGATGGGATGACTAGTCCTGGTGCTCTCTGTCCCTCTCAACTGTGGGCTCATGGCTGCTCCAGTCCTGTTCACGCACAGCCTTTCTGGTGGCCCGGCTGCCTCCTTCACAGCCTCTAACCTCAGGACCTAGCTGAATGCCTCATGCAGTATCTTCTTGCAGCCCACACACCTTGCCTGGGCTTCGTCTTCTGCCAGTTGCGTTTTGAACTCCCACCTTGTCCCTTGTGTTTCATCGCCACATTCCTAGCGCTGGTACTGGACAGACTTTGGCCCTCACGCTGGCAATCAGGTTTGCTTGGCCGGTCATAATTTCTCCTTGTTTCGCCTATATCTCTTGAATTTCGGCTAACAGATATTGTAGGTTGTCCCCCACAATTAGCTATCACATCTGTCACAATCCACTATCAAACAAGCCAATCCATCAACCCAAAATTAAATCCAATTCAGCACTTCTTACATGAGTTGTCACATATTAGTGTCTAGACACAGGGTTTGAATCAATAATTGAATTAATTGGATTCTTATTCCTGAATGGATGAATCTACAATGCCTCTCTGACACCAAATTCTGACTTTCAGGCATCATGTAACAATAATGAAACGCATTGCCTTAGACAGTCTAGGCCTGAAGCAGAAATGGGACGCAAAGAAATGAATACATTTATCTTAACAATGTTCCACAAGAGAACTTACCTCTGCACACTGTACAAGCTCTACAGATGTCATATTCCATGCATCTTCAGGTGAAACACCCTCTTGGATCCTCTGACCCATAATGTCTGCACTATGCTTTACTTTTCTGAAATATTTTACAGCACAGCCATATTAATGCACATAGATATTTGTTCTCATTTTTCCATTATTCTGACACAGTAGTTCCATGTTTCCATGTTCACATTAATGTCTGAGATTCATTTCAGACTGTACAGTAAAACAAATCCCAGAAATTAGTGGTAACATAAATACAATTTCTTAAATCATTATTAGGCTCCACAACATTAGGACCACCCAAGAAATTCTTGCTTCAGGTAAAACTAAAATTTACAGATACAGCTGAAGAAATATAAACAAGAAAATCTTTGGTGTGGGGCAGTGGAGAGAGCCATGCACAATTGCTTTTCTGTTACCGTTGCAGGTGATGATCAGATTTGGCAAAAGTAAAGTGATTTGAATTCTAAAACTTCACAATGATGATGATATCCTCACTGGTATAATGAAAGTCATTTCAGCTTACATTAACACAATATGCTTTTCTGTGTTACTTCTTTAGTATAATCTATGTATTTTCATAATTCTAGCACATGTTTTCCCCTCCAAGAAAGAGTTCTTTCTTACCTTGCTGCCACCTGCTGGAAAGCACTGACTATGCATGCTGTTGAGCCCTCCCAGCATGGTGTACCATTACTTCCAGAGACTGCCTGCTTGAGGTATGCCACAGTAGGGGTCATAGCCATGCCTCCTACAGCCTGTTGCCATGCCTTCATGAGATATCGGGCAGTTTGAAGAAGCAGAACCGTGTTCTCTCCCTCATACGTGCATGCTGCTGTGATGAGCCCATAGAGGGAAGGCAGGTTGCTGCACATCATATAACCATGTCCACCACAAGCCAGGCGACATGTTTCCGCGCCTTGTGCAGCTTCAGTGGTGCAGACAGCCTTCAAGCAGCACGACAAGGCATGCAGCTGCAAATATAATACATTATTAATGTCATGTAGACATGCCTCTGCAGCACTTGGCTCCCTCCTGGCTTCTGAACTTTCCCTCTCCCCTACCGATCACCTTCTAGACCCCTTTCTAACGGCACAGCACGCGCTTCCAGCTAGAAGGTTCCAGGCTAACTATGCCTGAATAAAAATGTATGGAATGTGTAAGTTGAGTCAGTCTGAGCTAGAAACTGCTGGAAGTGTTAGTGTCTATTGACGCAGTGTGCAATGTGAAACACAAGTTCAAAAATAAAAGAAAACAGTGCAGTGGGTTCAGTGAACTACTAGCACTTAAAATAACCTGACATCAATACCACAAGTCTTTACTGTAACCACACCATGCAGGAACCTCAGCAATGTTGTTAATTTACATTCTTAATTACAATGTACTACATGTAAACGAACTGTATTACTGTTAACAAAAGATGATACACAACTGACCCCAGCACCAGCAGGCGCCAAGGACGACATCTGGTCTTTCTGAGGGACAAGTGTGCTGGAGGTCATTTGAAAACCCAGAATGGAGCAGGAAGTATCCCGCTGTATTTTCTGGGAATTTCAATGCTTAACATCGGCGGTACAAGTCTTTGAAAATTTGAGACTTGACAGATACAAGTTGCAATAATTTTCAGAGGGACGTACTAAGCGATCATTAGTGCCCCTTCATTTATTTGAGAGCTGTCAGAAGGACCGTCTTGTACTTAGGCCCAAAATAGAATGGATCTTGTTAGGGACTGGCCGAATGTAAATGAGAGAAACACCCAAATTTTAGGTTCAGCCAATCAGCAAAATTTCAGAGAGGAAACTGGGCGTTACCGGAACCATCAAGACTTCTGGCTCTCCAGAGTAGTCAGTCATCAAAAGGGAGTAACAGGAGTGAGTCGTCTTAGTGAGTAACAGGAGTCAGTCTTCTAAAGGGAGTAACTGGAATCAGTCATCTTACAGAGTGACAGGGGTCAGTCGTTTAAAGTGAGTAACAGGAGTCAGTCGTCTAAAGTGAGTAAAAGGAGTGAGTTGTCTTAGAGAGTGACACGGGTCAGTCATCTAATGGGAGTAACAGGAGTAACCTCCCGGACGTTAAATTTGTGTTGGCCAAGTCCGGTACACAAATTCAAAAGTGCTACAGCCTTGTAATATGTAATTCTAGTTCACATCTACAATAAAGAGCAACAGTGTTGGTGAAGTGTGTGTTTTAAGTGTTTTCTATTTCCTTGTGTGAGCAAGGCCCAGAAGTCGCCCTGAGACAGAATCTTGTCCTACCGTCTGAGCAGTCGAAACTCCAAACGCCCACCTATCTACATCCCCCCCCCCTTTGTTTTCCCCGTTCCAAATTCGTGGATTTCACCCAAGTCCACTGGCGCCCATACAAATTCAAATTCAGAGTAATACCACACCCTACCCTGAACCAGACGACAAGGAAGCGGTGGATGAAAGTGGAGACCAACTTGTGGGGCTTGAAGCCTCACTGAGTGGGTCAGTTATAAGTGGCGACCAACCTGTGGGGCTTGAAGCCTCATTGAGTAGGTCAGTTATATTATTGATAAACAACTGCTCCCAAACACAATAAATGTTACAACTGGTCAAAGTATAATGTGGCTTCTACACAACTATCTGTTAATAAATTAGTAAAGTCAAACAGAAACTAATATAAGCTCAATATGAACTTTTATTGTTGCTATTATTTACCACTACATCTTTCAATTGTATATACGGTTTCTCTTATGCATATGATTCACTACACATTTTCCATTCACTAGTTTGTGTGTGTGTGTGTGTGTGTGTGTGTGTGCGCGCACGTGCGTGTCGGGGGGGGGGGCATGTAGGCGTGTAAGTAAATGAATTGTAAATGGGGTGGATGAAAGCAGCGTCTTACACAAACAATGGTAAGCGATGGAAGGAATCATTAGTCAAGTGAAGGTAATCGTCCAAGTGTAGGCATAACCAATGTCACTTACTCAAATATGAGTGATGAGTGAAGATCATCACCCTTCAGTTCTAGGTTGTGATCGAAATAGCTTAGCCCAGTGTTTCTCCACTGCCAGGCCTTGGCATCAATTATAAAGGGCCCTCATCATATAAAAAAAGAATTTAGTGGGCTGCGGTCTCACAAAGGTTGAGAAGCACTGGTTTAACCCATCTCAGATGGAGAGTAAAGGTTGTGATCCTCCAGTCAGCCCATCACCAATGTTGCACAGTGTGACTCCGAAGATTATAAGTTCAGTAAAGACTCAGTTATATAGTATCCAGGCATCTGGAATTCTCATGAAACTGGCACATATTTAAACTACCCACTTTTATGCAGTTTTTACAGAAACAATGTATGTCCACTCATCATGCAGTAGTTCTCCAAGATGCCAGTAGCAGCACTATCATCCACCCTCATACAGCTGCCATTAAGGTTGTGAAGTGTGATTACACAGGGGCTAGTTGAATATGTAATCATATAACAGGATGTCCAAATTATTTAACCCAAATCTGCTGTGTCAGCTAAGAAGACCCCCATGCAAGTACTGAAGTAAGAACTTCTTGTGACTTTGAAACAGAAAAATACATAATAAAAGGCTTGAAAATGCTGAAATCATGTGGACACTGGTTTCTGTAAGTTTTCCTTGTGCAACTGGCAGATTCATTAAACTTCCACACCACATTTCCCATATATGCCAGAAAACTGATAGCTTACTGTAGTATTATTTGTAAAACTGATAGCTTACTGTAGTATTATTTATGTCAGTCTACAGTTTTATCATCAATACATATCCTGTTGAACTTCTGATGATAAATTATGTTATGATGGCTTGTGAGTATTTACTATTGGTGAGGTAATTTCATTAATCTAACTTATTTGTAAACAGATGCTGGTACACTGCTCATTCAAAGAAATGACATTAACATCGCAAACAACTACACAGACAATACTCAATGTCTGACTCAGCTGGTTGGCTTAATATTGAAATTTTGTGAAGGCACCTCACAGTTCTTCTTATCTCCTGTTTTGTCAGTTCATTACGTTAATGACATTAGAATATTTACTGGTAATAAACTTCTAGTTTCTAGCATATTATTATACTGACACACATAAACAAACTAACCAATTGAAGTGAGCAGAATCCATCTTGAGATGCCAAAAGCCTCTCTCAAGATATTCCCTGCTTCTAAGTGTTAAGCTTTATTACTGTGCTCAAAAAAAAGACTACCACTGTTGCGTATCTTGATTTGAATCTAAACTTCTTTAAGATATACTTTAATACTATTGCCCCACCTATCCCTAGGTATTCCAAGAAGTCCCTTCTAACAAAAATTTTATGAGCATTTCTCAGCCCTCCCATGCATACCCAAAACTCCTTCACAATGAAATTCTATGTATAAAATTCTTTGTGACAGAATCTTTAAACAATAAACCAAGCATAAAAGTGGTTAAGTCAGTAAATTAACTAAACTGTACATAACGTGAGTCAGAATTTCCAGTTCCTCTTCCCATACAATTTTATTATTTCTTTTTATTTGGTTTCAGAATTTTGTTATATCTCTTGCATATAAGATGTATCCACAGCACATTTTCTTGCATGCTGTTAAAACAGCTTACACTTAATGTTGTTTAGAATATGCTTTATTTCACTTCACTGTACTCTTTACTAGGACTAAGGATGTAATTTGGGTTCATTGTCCAAATTAAATCCAACCAATAGTCTCCTCCTGTCACTAAATAATGTTATGTAAATTTTCATTTCATGCATCCTGTTGTGCTGCAGAGCCAAACTAGGCACTGACCTTAATATAGTTGTGTTGTGAAGGTTTTAATAAAGAAATTGAATGTTATGAAAACACTAACATAAAGTTCATCAAAATTTTAATAGGAAGTTATTAAAAAGGAACTTCATCAGAAATACTGAACCTCAGCAATTATAGAAGTTCTGAAAAGACAGCTAGATTTATATTAACATACTGAACTTGACAGAATAACCACCTACATTAAATGGTGCTGATATCTAGAAGAATTCTTTTTGACATTTTATGAACAGACTCCATTATGTACAGAGTCAAGCATACTGTCTACTGACATCTTCTGCTCATAATCATAAAATTACTTGTCAGTACACATAATGACACAATTTTATATATAAGGCTATATGTCAACAGGCCAGTATAAGTGTGCCTCATCCATATAACCTCTAATCTGACAATTTGGTTAATACACGTTTATATTAATCTACAGAGAGTGAATACATCGACAGCAGAATAACTGTACCTCTGGCAATCTCTCCAGCTTTCCTTCCTCAAGTTCCGAAAATACTTCAGTGCATATATTCAACAACCACTTCCCTGTAAACTTCAGAGCAAACGAAGCTGCCAGGTAAGGAAACAGCTTGTACTGTTGTGTCCTGTAATCAAGAATCTGTGGCTCTGGTTCCCTGAAACAGTTACACAGTAACACACTGAGGATACATATCACTTGCTGCAATTAGTGTGTCCTGCTGTCATCACATTAACATACATGCCTTCTACCAGAGCACCAGCCAGCTGTCATATGTAAAATAACTGGAAACAAGATTACCTGTCTTCTAGGGAGTGACGCCATGTACTGTGTACACAGGTAGCTATCTACCAGACCCCAGAAGACTGTAATCATAATACCACCATGAGAACCTCAAACCTCAAATTATACTAGAGTGCTGCACTAAGAAGTTAAGTACAACATTATACGAGGGGGGACCCAAAAATAACCGGAAACGACCTGTTGCGTGCACATGCTTTGTAGTTACAAGTTGTGCTGCTAGGTGGTGTTAGCTGGGGGTCTCCTGCGACTGTTAGTGAGCTGGCGTCAGTCTGAGTTAAGTGGTTTGTCTGTGATGCTCTGTTCTGTGCGTTCCTGTTTCAACCCTTTGGCGATCAGTGAGATGGCCGACCAGAAGGAACAATTCTTTTAAGAAATTCTGGATCGTTCTGCACTTCACTCTTCAAGTCGCGGCAAACATTCACGCGGTTTTCTCTTTGGTCATCTCTGAGCAAGCGAGGAACAAATTTTGCAGACACCTGTCTCATGTGCAAACCTTCGGTTAAAATTCGCTGGACCGTGCTCCATGAGATGTTCATTTCCTCAGAAAGTTGGTCAATGGTCTTTCGACGATGTTCATCAATTGCACGTTTGATTTTGGCAATGTTTTCGTCATTTCTTCCTGTTGACGGACGCCCGGGGCGTGGCATGTCTTCTGTTGACATGTTTCCAGATTTGAAACGGGAAAAACGGGAAAACTACTCGTAGACCTGTGATTTCCCCAAAGCATCATCATCATTAAAGGCTTGCCGAAGCATCCCAATAGTCTCGGCTGCAGTTTTCCCTAACAGAAAGCAAAATTTCACGCACACTCTTTGTTCCTTCTGGTCAGCCATCTCACTAATAGCCAAAGGGTTGAAACAGGAACACACACAACAGAGCACCACAGACAAACCACTTAACTCAGACTGACGCCAGCTCACTAACAGTCGCGGGAGACCCCCAGCTAACACCACCTAGCAGCACAACTCATAATTACAAAGCATGAGCGTGCAACAGGTCGTTTCCGGTTATTTTTTGGTCCCCCTTCGTACATAATTCTGTTGTTAGTTTTAACAACATAATCAAACTTTTGTTATACATAATTTACTTTTTAAGTAATCACCCTGGTTATGAGTATATGCTACGCCCACTCCCAATTTTCTGAATCCGTCAGACAAAAATGATTTCTTGATTCTTGAGCCAATTTTTCCATATCTGGTGAGCATTTCAGGTGCAATTTCATCCTTGCTAATTCTTTGGTTGGCATAACTGACTAATATAGTCCTTAGCCTCAATATGTCACAGTCAATAGCTACTCAGACCACTCACAGTTCAAGCTCTTTCACTCATTTCTCTGTGACTCAGAGAATTACAGCTATACAATACTGTCAATCTTCTTATAATGCATGAGTCTTTACACCATCTGATTCCCTCTCCCCAGAAAAAAAGACAGAGAGAAAGAGAAAAGATTAGACCACACTTCGTTGTTCTTTACTTGATGGATTCTCTCAATGGAAGTCCATGTTAAAATATGTCACAATATTGTTACTAATCAGATGATATTCTGAATCAGCTATGTGAAAATAAGGGAAGGTTCATATTCTTTTTAAGTGCAGCCATTATCAGTGCTACCAAAAGCAGCTTTCAGGTAAACTAAAATTGTTTTTATCCGATAATTTCACCCCTATAAACCTCTACTATTAACAAAAATTCTTAAGAAATGCAATTCAGTATATATAAGATTCAAAATATTCCACAGAAAATGTCTACCTTCTGTGACTAAAGAAATTTGTGAGCAAAGCCCATCTGCTCTATGAACCAGGGTACATGTAGGAAACATTACAGATGGAAAGTTCCGTCTAAGTACATTTAAATTTTCACTGAACTGTGAATACTGGAAATACATTGGAAAATGAATCAAGTAACTTTCTAATGGTGATATAACAGTCTACATCACTGACAACGATGCAAGCCTTCATATGGATATCCACAAATTTCACCTACTCTTCTCTACAAGATTATCACAGTTAGGCTAGGCTTTCAAATGTCTTGTGCAAGATGGGTTCTAAGAATGCTTATGGCTGAGCACAAAATGCAGAGAATGGCTTCAGCTCTGACTTTGAATTTCTGAAGTGATACCACAAAGATGGCAATGAATTTCTCAGGCACATCATAACAGGTGATGAAACCTGGGTTTCATTTGTAAACATTTTGAAACTATAGGGCTGTCAAAGCAGTGGAAGTATACATGGTCACCAAAAAAGCCAAAAAAGTTTAAACAAACATCGTCTGCCTGCCAGAAAGCTGATGACAACTGTTTTCTGGGACAGGAAGAGTGGTGATGGTGGAATCCAAGCAACACAGGACCACAGTAACATCAGAAGTGTATTGTGAAACACTAAAAAATCTGCACAAGTCTGGCCATTCAGAAGAAAAGGCACGGAATGCTGCCTTTGCAGTGCTCCTCCATGACAACGCATGTCCATATACAGCGGCTCGCACTTGAGAACTGCTGGAGCATTTCAACTGGGAGTTGTCTGACCACCCTCCTTACAGCCCTGATCTCACTCCAAGCAACTACCATCTTTTTACCTACCTGTAGAACTGGTTGCGATCGCATCACTCCAACACTAATGAGAAGTTGATGGAAGACGTAAAAACGTGGCTGAGCTCACAAGTGGCAGACTTCTTTGACACAGGAATGCAGAAACTTATTCACTGATATGACAAGAACCTCACTTCCGGCAGTGACTACGTTGAGCAGTAGCTTAAGTATATACATATTTCTTGTATATAACAAAAATGTTTTTCTCATTGCTTGTTCTGTTAACAGCTCACCAGAGATTACTTTCTGAATAGCCCTCTCAAAAACATGGTGAATGTACAAGGACATGAGACATGGGGTGACAATTTATGATCCTGAAATGATGAATGGTAAGATCTCTTTAAAAAGTACACAGTTTCTCTTAATGTAATTATCTTGTAGAACACTCTGGAGGCTGTGCAAACACTTTCTTTACGTACTGGCTGATGTTGATAACAAATAAAACACTGGAGCTAGGCGTGTGAAATCTGGTACAGAGAGATGATAAACATGTCTACACATTATGTATAAAATATTGTTTATAATTCAACAATTTTAAACATGACAATTAATGTGAGGTTATAAAAAACAAAAGTAAAAAAGTAAAGCTATCCCTGTAACAGGCCATGAAGGCCCATTGGGTTGTGAGACGTTGAGGGGCCTACATTATCTAGACAATCGGCTCAAAGATGGCGGTAAGGTTGTCAGCCTTATGCGCTGGCCGCACTTTACTCCCCAGGAAAATTATTTAATTAATTCCTGGTACTCATTTCTGTTAGAGGCTGAGTGAACCCCAGGGCCATAGTGCGGCCGGAAGGATTAGGTCAATTGAAAAAATCCAAAGACCTCATCAGTATTTGAACCTGTGACCTTCCAACTTGTAGTTACCGTGTGCCCCAATGTGAGGTTATACCCAACAAATTTAACAAGAATAGAATTTGTTCTTCACAAAAATAAAATAAAATATAAATGATAACATTAATGGATCCATAGGACTAGAGATCTGTCCAACATGAAAATAGGTCTGATCAGAGCACCTTGTTACTTATTACTGCCACTCCAAAATACATTAACTGTGACAGTTTTTAAGAGATTTACTGTTTTTTTTTAATTAGAGCAACAGTAGGTGTTAGTGGTTGAACGATAATGTTCCTAGCTATTTTGCAGAAGAGAGATACTGGCTGTTTTGAATTCTAACTTGATGGTTTGTAATTATTCTTGAATACTAAGTAACTTTTTCACTGGTGAAATGGGTCAAGAGTGATCTATAACTGAAATTTCAGGCACATCAGGAAGTGGAGTTAAAGATCATACTATAACACTCACCCTGGTTTCATTTCAGATTGTCTCCGCACAGCACTGTAACGTATTGCTATGGTGCATGCTTTTGCCAGCAGAGTAGATACAACCTTCAAAATTGACACTCGTACAAAGGTCATACCCCCATATGCCAGCTTCTCATTTGTAGATTTGATGTAGGATCCATCCTGAAATGCAGGAAAATAAGTAAACTACAAATCTATTGACTGAGGAACAATCTATGCAAAATACTTTTTGCTTCTGGAAAATTTCACCAAATCATCACTGCATAATGTCAAGCAATGCCACCATGCTTCATTTCATGGCAGCTGCATTCACTTATGAATCTACTGCTGTAACAATTACTAGATCATGGAAAGTCATTTACGCCTTCAGTCACAGTGAGTACTCTTTTTCTTATTGTGACAAGTTGCTCAAAGCATTCAGATACGGAACCAGGAAAATCTTAGTAATGCGGTTAACAATAGAACCTCAGTTACTTAGTAGCAAAGGTCTTAATAATTACAACAAAAGAGGAACTACTGAAGACGATTCATAGGCAATGCGTACAGAAACAGGTTTCCGTTACAACAGCTAGTTAAACACTGTTCTCACAGCAATGGAAAGGACATTTTCATGACGACACAGAAATCAACTATTTGATTCAGTGTCCTCTATTCAGTATGCCAATAGCTACCTCAACAGGACTACTAGAAGATTACTAGAGATTGCTGGAGATGAGAATGAGATGACAAACAGAAATCAGAAGTCAGAAGTGAAATCTTTATTTCATGTGATGTAGTCACAGTAACGTTTAGAGTGTTATCATTGTTCGTAGTTATGAAGTGTTATAGTTACAGTAAAACTGTGTTACAACTAACTGTAGTTCCACCTGGTGAATTTTCAATAAACTGATTAATCTAATACAGAACCTATTAATTACTTGTCATGTTACCAGGATACATGACAATATTTTCCTGTAACTTTCAAATGGGGGCCATGAGGCTATCTTGTGTGGGCCAGAGTTAAAGAAATTCTTACAACAAGTTGGAGAAGTGAAAAATCTCTCCTTGTATTACATTCTGTAAAACACAATTACAAATTACGACACTTGTTCAGATTAAGAACTGGAACTTACTAATGTTATGTAACACCAATTTCAAATTTCTAATAAAGGCACTTAAAAAAAGATCAGGACTGAAGTGAACCTGTTGTTAATAAACTGAAGTGACACCAATGATTCCACAGTAAAGTGTGTTGTCCCTGGTGTAATGCACTAGAATTCTAAAATGCACCATGAGAGCAGAGAGTGATTTTAACATATATTTGAAACTGAAACTGAAAAAGGAAGTTATCCTGAGATGGCAGCCAAGATTGTATTACGTACCTCCAGCACCTTGGAATATTTCATCAACATATGCTCACGAGGAATGTGAACATTCTCAAATCCAAGGAAACCATTATTAACATTATTCATACCCAGTTTTGTACCAATTTCCCCAATTTTAATACCTGAAAATACAAGAATATAGAATATCCTGTGTTAACTTTACACCAGTGACAATAATCAACATACATTATACAAAATTCTTCAAGAGGAATAATTGTAAACCTAAATCATGACCAAGATACTGTACATCAACACTCCAAATGTATGTGTCATTTCTGTTTGACTAATCTTGTTTTATTTTAGGGTACACAGGTTCTTAAAATTGTAAATTTGTATAAAAACATAAGATATATACACTTTCATATCAAATATATTTACATTAAATGGTGTTAAATACTCATCAGAGTATCCACTCTGATGTGGATATTCTGAGTGTCGTAATCACAGGGGCACTTCTATTACAATTAACGAAAATGCAGGAACAGTTTTTACAGTTCATAACTATTATTCAACAAAACCACATCAACATCTAAAGGCATTAGAAGTTATTACACTTTAATATCAAGTGCACAAAGTGAACGAACATATTTATGGATGACTATGCATCTCTGAAATTACTCGATAGATATAGCTGATATTTTATTTAGGGTAATCTATATTAAAAGCTGCTGAACAAACTTAATTTTGGCCCATATGGATATAGTATAATCCTAATGAAAATCAAATCAACTTTATCAATTTTCCCAAAAAATCCACACCATGCAAACAGTTAGTACATGGCATAACATTAATTTTATAAGATATGCATATCATTAAGGTTTATAAGTATCATTTAAAACAATTTTTATATGGCGAAACAAAAATAAAACAAAGAAAATTAATTTCCAGTTCAACTTACTTACTTACTCACTAACTTACTCATGGAGCTGAGCCCTTCTGGAGGAGCCGCCAATTCTGCAGCTACTCAAGAATTTCCCAGCATTTTATGGAACCTGAAAGTTCTTTACTGTGTTCACAAGAGCCCTCCACTGGTCCATATCCTGAGCCAGATCAATCCAATCCATAACATCCCATCCTATCTCTCTAAAATCCATTTTAATATTGTCTACCCACCTACGCCTTGGTCTTCCAAATGGTCTCTTTCCTTTTGGCTTTCCCACCAATATCCTACACGCATTCCTCGTCTCCCCCATTCGTGCTACATGCTCTGCCCACCTCATCCTCCTTCACTTGATCATTCTAATTATACCTGGAGAAGAGTACAAGTTATGACGCACCTCACTGTGCAGTTTTCTCCAACCTCCTGTCACTTCTATCTTCGGTCCAAATATTCTTAACACCCTCAATCTACATTCCTCCCTTAATGTCAGAGACAAAGTTTCACACCCATACAGAACCACAGGCAATATTATAGTTTTGTATATTCTAATTTTTATGTTCTTGGACAGCAGCTGAGAAGACAAAAGGTTCTGGACTGAATGGTAGCAAGCATTATCCGAGTTCAATTTTATTGAACACTTACAGATCGTAACTACATGTAACTACTGTGCTACCACTAATTCACACACACAGCAGTTAACTACAGCACATACTAAGTCTTCTCAGTCTGCTGTGTCTTTGCCAGATGCCGTCTGGTAATGGCTTCAAAGATTATAGATCCCTCATCTTCCAAGTTCATGTCCTTACTGGCCAATGACTATCTCACAACTAATTAAACTCTACACTTGACCTGCTTATAAAACCTCGGCATGGGCCACACAGAAAACATCTCTCCCAACAGATCTACTGTTGCATCACATATCTTCTGCATGGACAGCATAGAGAACACCACTTCCAAACTGGTCCATTGGTGTGAGTTATGAATCTGTTGCAGCCATTACCTAGCAATGGCTGTTGTTTACAGAGTCATTATTTAGCAACAGGTCTACATGCTGTACATGTATAATATTAGAAATAGGAGGAACAAAGTTTCTGTGGAGTATCAAGAAATTAACAAGGGTTAAAATCCAAAACCAGGACATCAGGGAATCTGAAAGCAGAAACACTGTAAGAAAACTTTGTGAAATCAAGGATGTAGTGTTCTGGACATTTGGGTGGAATGCATATGAAAGTGAGTAGGGTAAGGTTTAGTATGATAGAGGAGGAGCACTTATGGCAGGACAGAGAAGAGCAAAGAAAGCTTCCTAATAGGATGATATACTGTGGTTGTAACAGCAATCGTTAATGGTGGTGATTCAGTTCAAATATTTTGAAAATCTGGATTTCATACAAAGTTCTACATCATAGCTTTCACAGCAGTACAATCTGTTGCTTTTATGGCAATATTTTACAGGTAACTTTTCTTACTTTCTTATGAGTTAGGTACAGTGAAGGTCTTTATATCAAGAAAGATGAACTGTATTTCAATATGGCCAAACACAGTGAGATGTCCTGTGTGTAGTAAATTTGAATCTCCTTATCGGTTGAACACTGTGAATAAATTTACTTTGACATGAATTAGGCCATTGGGCAGAGTGTAGCATGAAGAGTTCTTCATATTCATGTGAACATCTAATGATCCGTGGTTTGTATGCAAAGAACAAATCAATTGCAGATTTTCTCACCCACTTTTAGGTTCCTTCATATCTAACAAAAACTGGAGGTGTTCCTTTACCAATCATCATCATCATCATTATCATTATTCCATCACTTGTGATAACACAGTATAGTGCTTTTTTATTTTAATTTTACAGCAACGTCAATATCTACTCTATATAGCACTGAAGGGTGGGAGGATTGATGAATAATGAATTGGAAAGATTTGGAAGAAGTCAGCCATGGCCTAATCACGGTACTATCCCTGCATTTGCATGAAGGGACCAAGCAATATCATGGTAAACCTCAGTCTGGACAACCAGTGTCCCAGGCAACACTGGACCCAAGAACTTCTAGAATTCAAGTCCAAAGTGTTGCTGCTAGACCATCCACCTCAATTTAGTGTAGTGTAGTGCAGTCTGCTCCGTATTTCAGAAGGGAACCCTTCCAGTATTGCTAAGGCATGCAGAGATCAGAGAAGTCAAAATTATCATATGTGAACCATTAGGCACATCATTCATTTTCATGGTGTGAAACATAGCAATTAGTTTTTCGGCAGTACGGCCCATGAAAATACATTTTTTTCAGTTCTTGGAGACAACATCCTCAGACACCATTCAACCTGCTGATATATATGCAGAGTAGATACTTGGATGCAACATTTTCTAATTCACTCACATTACTTTTTAATATTTTACACGATTTGCATCACTCAGAGATCTACACAAGTGAAGATCAGGTACCTTACATTTTTCTACTATGCATTTAAGTACATGTATGAACGCTCATTTAAGAAACTGTACCCTGTCAGGATGCAGTATTAAAACTCCTGTATTCCTTTGTACCTGGCAAAGGTTCATGTGTCTCTTCATTTCTGAGCTGAACCATGAAGAGATGAATACCACGGTAGACTCCTTGTGTATAAAGTTGTGCCACCACAATAGCATAGTTTGTGGTTTGCCCCACTGCAACAAGAAAGAATACCAGAGTCTTTTAATTTCAGTAAATAACTGGAAAACATAAATGAAAATAAAATAGCCAGAATATAAGATGGAAGACTGGTGTTTGAATCATCACATGGGTAGACATGTTTATCATCATCATATTCCTACTACTATTACTACTACTACTACTACTACTGNTATACACATAAACACTAAACATCCATGCCCTGAGTGATTCGAACCCACAGTCCCGGCTTCCGAGCGGGCAAAGACAGTGCATGCCTTAGACCGCTTGGCTACTGTGACAGGCACAGTAATCTATAGTGTGTTACAATTCAGCACATAAGTTTTTATTGCAGCATCCACTAAACAGTGGAATTGAATTAGCTGTATTTGTTACAAACAGATGGCCATAACTCTTAAACCATAAGCGATGGACCAAAATGGGTTGCATTTTTGAGAAGCTTGCATATATTAACATATTTCACTTGCACTATAATGATGTCGGCCACCTGAAGAGAAGTTTTCTACTTCTTATGGCTTTAATTAATTGTGCATTTTGTCTGTTTGTGAGAATGGACTGAATAATATCTGTTATTCTTAACCTTTAACGTATGGACTTTTAAATTGCCAGGAGCCCTGTATGGCCGGAATTTAAATAACCCTACTTAATTATCACCGCAAAAAAAATGCATATTTTCCGTTATATACAACATAGAAATATGAACTAAAAAGAACCTGAAAGACAATAAAATTTTCTACATATATGTAAAAGAACAAGTTTTACAAATGAAAATTAACTGTGAATATTTTGTCATGAAATGCAAAACATACTCTTTATTATATATGTTATGAAGTACCAAAGGACTTACCCATTGTTTTTTCTTCAATCTTGAATCATGATGATATTGTAGATATGATCACACTAATACAGTAATATTTTGTTCAGACTGTACGCGAGTTTGAACTGCGTCACTTCACAGTTTAGGCTATCTCACACTCTGACGCGCATGTGCCATCTCTCGAAGCAGTCCTCCACACAGAGCGCAACATTACACTTTTTACAGCAGTAGGCTGTGGTTCTGCGCTTCTTATTCTGAGAACAAATATGACGTCTTTGTTTTCCTTTGGCTGGCCAGTGTTGTGAATGTTTCACCTCCAGTCGACTCAGTTGGGCCCCAGATGAACTTGGCCTCCCCCGAGAAACGCCACTGACTGATATTCGCCTCATGCGACTGAAGAATCAAATCCCGCACCAATATTTCATGGAACTTTTTGTGT